TGCTAGGCCATCGGATGCAACAGAACTAAAGGCATTTCTAGGCATGATTAATTATTATGGAAAATTTGTTTCTAAGCTATCTACCATATTGAATCCTCTTTACAGGTTATTGAGAAACGGTGTTGAATTTGTTTGGTCATCGGAATGTGAGAGCTTTTATAAATGTTAAGAGAGCCATTTCTTCTGAACAAAATTTGGCTTATTTCGATCCTGAAATGCCTGTTAAATTGGTTTGCGATGCTTCAGGTGTGGGCATAGGAGCTGAATTGCTTCACATGTATCCTGACGGCTCTGAAAAACCAATCAGTTTTGCATGCCGTATTTTGAACAAAGCAGAAAAAAACTATTCAGTTATACACAAGGAAGCTCTCGCAATTTTTTGGGGGGTTAAAAAATATTATCAATATTTGATGAGCAATATATTGTATTATGCTCAGATCACAAGCCATTATTCATTATTGGCTTTGTTTGGAGAAAGCAAGGGAGTTCCTCAGATGGCTGCGGGGAGGCTTTAGAGGTGGGCGTTTTTTTTGAGTGGGTTTGATTACAAATTTCACTATATTAATGGGAAAAATAATGGAGCCGATGGACTAACTCGATTTCCACTTAAAGTTGTAGGGACAAATAATGAAGATGCCGATTACTTTCATTTCTTGGTGGAGAACCAGTTGCTTTAATAAGCAACTGGTTAGAATCGTTAGAACTAATGTTCTAACGATCTAAGAAAGGAGGTTAGGAGGGATCTGTTGCTAAGCAAGGTTTATTTGTATGTGCGTGATGGGTGGCCTAATCTGGTAGCTGAAGAGCTTAAGCCATTTTATCATAGGCGTTTAGAATTAAGTATCGAGAATGGATTGGTTATGTGGGGCTATAGGGTTTTAATTCCTGAGAAATTCAAAAAGCAGTTGCTGGAGGAAGTGCATGGCGCTCACAATGGTGTGATAATAATGAAGTCGTTAGCGAGGCAATATTTTTGGTGGGCCTGTCTAGACAAGCATATTGAGGACTTTGTTGAAAATTGTGATACGTGCATGTCAAATTCACGAACACCCAATGAGGTACATCTCATTAAGTTTCCTGAAGGAAAGTATGCCTTTGATCGAGTACACATAGATTTTTTGGGACCGTTTAAAAATAGAGTTTATTTATTAATTGTCGATACATACTCTAAATGGCCAGAGGTTTATGAAATGAATAAAATGGATACTTTCGAGTACTTTAGAAAAATTGAGGGAATGCTTTGCGCTTTGCGCGTTTTGGGCTTCCAAATACGCTTGTTTCAGAAAATGGTCCTCAGCTTGTGAGTGCTGAATTTGGAGAATTTTGTATAAAAAACGGCATTAAACGTGTCAAATCTCCTCCTTACCATCCGGCAACAAATGATGACGCCGAAAATGGAGTAAAGTCTTTTAAGAGTGCGTTAAGTGAACTTCTTATGGATAATAAAAATAAGGGCCAAACTCTGGAGACTCTGGTGAGTAAATACTTGTTTTCATATAGAAATACTCCTCATTGTGTAACAAGAGAAACCCCTTCCAAGTTGATGTTTTTGCGGAAAATTAGGTCAAGACTTGATTTTTTGACTAGACCAGTTTCAGAAAAAAATATGCAGAAACAAATTGAGTTTCATAATGGTAACAGGAATGTGATTTTTTTAGCGGGGGAATTGGTTTATGTTAAACATTACCGAAATACAAATAAACCTGGATGGGCGAAGGCAATTGTAAATGAAGTATTGGGCCGTGAAAGCTATGTTTGTAGTCCTTTAGTTGATAGTAGATTAAGGTGGTTTAGGCATTCGAATCAGATGATCAAATTGGGCAGGTTTTATGAGGGGTTAAATATTCCTGAGAGTAAGAAAACAGATATTGCTTGCAACATTAAAACACATTGCAGTCCGGAGATATCTAATCCTGAAATTAGACAAACCCTTAGCGATTTTGAGCAGAATGTCACGTCCTGTGAAAACACAATTGTTAACAGTGAAAATGCACCCCATACCTCTCTTGTACTCTTGTGAATTTAGAAAATAAGTCTAGTGCGGTTTCTCATGATGTAAGTGCAGGTCCGTTGGCAAATCAAAATGCAGAGAACAGTTCAGTAGAACCTAATAAAAATAGAAGTATGTTTTCAGGTGATCCTAAAAAGATAGGTAGTTCCATTGTGAGGAGCAGACCTCGCAGAAATATTACACCTCCAAACCGATTAAATTTTCGAATGTAATACCACAAGAGGTTTCAGAATTACCGGATAATACTTTTACCTGTCACGAAACGCGTTACGCAGCAACACCACGACTCCGAAGGAGGAGTGGTTGAGTGTCAGGTAAAAGTATTTGAGTGGTTGAGTGTCAGGTAAAAGTATTAGGTAATCCTGAAACATCGAGTGGTATTCAAAAGGTTATACAATGAACTAAACTATAATACTTTAAAATTTTTAAAAAAAATCTATATAGAATTTGCCATAAATGCCACCACGCGCGATAATCCCAAAAGGCTTATCACTTATTAAGTCTCTCGTGTCATATGGGAATAATGTACAGTGAGTTGTATAATCATATATAATACCACAAGAGAAAAAATTTTGTTGGCAAAATTTTCGACTGGTATGAAAGTTTGTTGCTTGGCAATTTCGCGAAAGACATTTTTCATGAGCGAAATTACCAAAAAGCAACAAACTTGAATAAAACCAAGAGAATAATTTTGCCTACATAATTTTTTCTTGAGTGGTGTTCGGCTATTTCACGAGAAAAACAAGCTAAATTTTCATTTGGAAATTTTTTTTTTTTAGGTGACACTTGTCAAACTCAATAGTTTTTTACATTAACCACACAAAATTTTGTCGCTGAAAAACCATCATGTTGGTTTTGTCCAGGTAAGAACAGGTAGCAGTTTTGTCAGTAGGAAACCGGCCGTTCCTATGACATTTTGCCAGTGTAAAACACTCTAGTGAAATAGTCAAAGATATTTTTTTGAACTTGGGGGTGAGAGGTATTGTTCGTCGATTTTTAACTGATACTTGCGGTATGAAGAGCGAGGGGGTGTTTCATATGGGAAAAACAGGTGTGACGTCAGGTAACCATTGGCGTTTTAATGTAGGGAGCCACCAGCTCACATTCCGTCCGAGTATCAGATTAAAATCGACGAACAATATGGTGTCTGCTGCTCACCTGGTACGCATATTGAGGCCACTAGGCACTAGTCTTGTCATGATAACTGTCAGTTGGTTTAATCATAGTCAATCATAGTCATGTCATAGTCATACTATTTGGAATTTAGTTAATAAAGTAATTCAACGCTTCTTCATGGTTACAATACATTACAAAATCTATGGAACACGTCAATTATAATTCGAAGGGGAATGAGTTTTTATGCAAAATTCACCTCCTCCCTTTCAAACCCCAGCTCCCAAAGCCAACCCCTAGAGAATCTTAAATGGGAAGGGGGGTCAAGTGATACATCATTTTGGAGGGTTTTTAATTCCATACATTTTGGTACTAAATTTTAATCCCTAAGTTCAATTGTTTTGGAAATATTGACAGTTGAAAATTGACTTTTAGGCAACTTTGACAGGCTGTAAAACCTAAATGGTTAATTTTAAAGGAAAACTGATTTTACATTCTTATCTTAGATTTTCATAAACTATCATTTGACATCAACTTTAAATTTAACCGGAGTTTAAATTTTTAACCGAAATTTTTGATCATGGATTAAATTCAAAGTTGCTATCAAATGATAGTTTATAAAAATCTAGGATGAGAATGTAAAATCAGTTTTCCTTTAAAATTAACCACTTAGGTTTTACAGCCTGTCAAAGTTGCCTAAAAGTCAATTTTCAACTGTCAATATTTCCAAAACAATTGAACTTAGGGATTAAAATTTAGTACCAAAATGTATGGAATTGAAAAGCCTCCAAAATGATGTATCATTTGACCTTCCTTCCCATATAAGAGGGGGTGGCTCTGGGAGCTTGGGACTTGAAAGGGGAGAGGTGAATTTTGCATAAAAACTCATCTCCCTTCAAATTATAATTTGACGTGTTGCAGGGATTTTCTCGAAAATTTTCAACTCCGAGATAATGGGTGGTAAGTTTTAAAATGAACACCCTGTATAATCCTTTTGATTAATTTCAATTTCGTGATTTAACTTGTATTTTTTTATGTTTAAACCTAAGCAACTTTTGATCCGACCCAAATCCTTGATTTTAAAATTTTTAGACAAAGTCTAAAGTTATCTTTTTCTGTATCGTTATTCAAAAAAATCAGAAAATCATCAACATAACTAATTATAGCAGATAGGTAATTCTGGATTAAAACATCTCCAACAGATACCAACATTTTTGACTGAAAAAAGTCCTTAATTATTTCCGAAACTAATCAAAAAGAAACGTAATAGCTCCATGACCCCCTTTATCGAATTTATTATTTCTTAATGGCGCGAAACGATACTCTAGCAAATTTTTATCTCCAAGCACGCGAAAAAAAGTAGAAATGTAATTAAATTTGTTTTCGGATTTTTGCTAATTTTAGTCACTACAGATTAGTTTAAAAAAAAAATATTTTGAAAATAATTATTCAATTATGCATGCATGGTAATAAATTTGCCATACTTCAAGTTGCATACCTTATTACATAACAAAGCAACCGTTTATTTTTACAGATCATAAAGTTTTATTAATTTTCAGGTCTCGTAATGATTATTTGTCCTTTACGAATTACGAGGAACAAGTGAAAAGATGCAAAATTCAGAGTGAAAACAGATTTTAAAAGGTCAAAACACACATTTTTGCTAAAACTAGGTGACACATTTTTTTTCGGGACTCATCAATCCGAACGTGTCAACATCTCTTGCGATATTGGTTTGATTGTGTGATTCAAATTACGAGGGTATGTTGAATGATGGACATTCTAAATGAGAAGAAAATTCACAAATTTATGTAGCAAACAGCACTATCAAACATGTAGATAAATTTAGTAATATTAAAAAAAGAAGAAAAATTAAAAGGAATCCTATCTCTTGGACTTCCCAAGGTAATAAGATTTGATATTTTGAGGAGAGAGGCTGGGTATAATGAAGCAGTAGTTGCATCAAACTTTTTTGCCCTTTCAGCTTGACTCCATTTCAGAGAACTTCAACCTTGATTCGAATCAAGTACCGGCAATAATAACTCAATTAATTAATTCTTCAATGTAGCAACTCTTCTAGAATATTGCTGTTGCTACCATAAGTAATTCTTTTCTAGATGGTTAAACTATTTATGTCAATGGGAAGCTACAAGGTGGCATCAGAATTGATTTGATCTGGAATTTTCCGAACTCACTTTCCGTTCGCACCTCGTAAATGAAATAAAAATCTTTATCTCGTTATATGAAGACTAAGCGAAGATATTCAGGGGTCAATACTGAACAGGAATTACTTTTTAGTAGTGCTGATCGTAACACATTTCTCCGGCTCTAAATATGTCATGGAGCCTCATCAGATATTTTATTTTGGTGCGGTGTTGGTGGTTTTTCTTTTAGGAATCAGTGATGGACAAAGTTTCGTGGAAAGCAAGCAGGTAAATAAACCCAACAGTTCAAAATACCTTATTTCTGAATCCACTCCTGATGATCTTTCTATTATACCTATTCATTCGAAATTTAATCATATCTATGTGGTCCCAGAAAAAGCTCCAGGTGCTTGATTTGATAAGCTCTGCCGCTAAGAGCACTATAATTTTTTCTAAGTTTAGTTACCAGCAGTCTTGAGCAAATTGAAATATTAATATGGGACATAGACAAAAAAATTAATTTATCTCCTTCCTGAACATTACATTATTTGACTTAAAATTTAAATATAATGAATTTCTAAGGAATAATTATATCGGCCTATAATTTATTTAATCTATCTAGGACATGTCAGCTCCCCAGTGACCCCTGCTGTAGTATTTTATATTTTGGATTCTGATTTATTGTCATTCATACCAATTTTTTGACCGTTAACTTGTTTGTGAACGAGATTTTAATTATCAACTTTTATTATGATAAAATAAAAAAATTAGATAATTTTTTTTTCAGAACACAATTCAAAAAAACGTCGAAAAGCCAAGGACTTTATATGATTTTCAAACAGTAAGTGAACTTGTTTAAAATTCAAAAAACTCATTAATGAATTTTTTAGAGAGTAGTCGCCTATAAGGATCTAATAGAATCCAAATGCCTACTACAAATTTTGTCCAATGAAGACAGTATTATTGACCAAAGATTGTCCAGTAACCTGAAACCAGTATCAAAATCAAGCCAACTTTCAAAAAGACAAGTACAAAAACGAAACATTTACCAAATATAAAAAAGCAATATTAGCCATATTTTCAGATATGGAGACTAGCTGGAACAAGGATCTCCGACTTTTGTCGAGGTTTTCCAACTTATCTCATCCAAAACGCGAACTTATCCGATACAGAAAACGGACAGGATTTGTCGGATATCCAAAACGACTTACCCATGGTGAGGATATCGAAAAGTCGCAGGAAGAGGGAAAATAGGCACTTTTTCGTTGGCAGAGTGAGAGGTCAGACCCAATCGCAATACTTGAGTTTCGCTAATGGAGGACAACCAGGAAAAGCCGAGGCTGAGAGTAGTATCGAGGGAACTAAGGCTGTTGTTAGTAAGTAAGAGGAATTATATTTTTTGGATCATTAAATACCACAAAATCAGCTTGAAGGGATCCAATAAGACGCATAGTTTATTAAAGCATCATTTTCAGGTGGTTCAAGTGGGATGGGTCAAGCCCAAAGTCAAAGTTCCTCCATTGACTGTGACGAATGTCTAGGGTCCAGATTTCAAGATCAAAGTTTATATTACGGCCAACGACCTGGCGAACCAGAACCTCAAAAAATAACTAAACCTGGATATCCTGGAGGGCAATGGTATCCGCCTGGAGCTGGAACAAGACCAGGAGAAGGCGGTGCAGGTTATCCTCCAGGAGAAGGCGGTGCAGGTTATCCCTCCGGAGCTAGACCAGGAGAAAGTGGTGCAGGATATCCTCCAGGAGCTAGACCAGGAGAAGGTGGTGCAGGATATCCTCCAGGAGCTAGACCAGGAGAAGTTGGTGCAGAATATCCACCTGGTACAAGACCGGGAGAAGGTGGTGCAGGTTATCCACCAAGTACGAGACCAGGAGAAGGTGGAGCAGGTTATTTATTTATTTATTTATTTTATTCAGAAGATCACTTTTAAACAACCCTCATGGAATTATTACAAGAAAAGGAATAGTAAAAACGAAAACAATAAACAAGACTGAAACATAAATACAACACAGCCAATAGTTCTGAAGAATAACATGTTTCCTAAGCAGTTCCTGAACATGTTTCAGACCTGGCGTTATTTTCTTATACAAAGAAACCTTAATAGCTATTTTTCTAACAAGTACCTAAAATAAGGTTTTCCAGGACGAATATTTGCTATTTCCGGACGAGGCGGTATCCAAGTCCGGAATAGCAAGAGTCCTAAACCACCTAATTTAGGTACGTAATACAAACAATATTTTATCTATACAAACGTGTTAAAAATGCAATTTTTAACACCCCCCTTCGTAAACAAGTCTGCTAATAGGGAACTTGCATATATTTTTTTTTATTTCAAAAATGTATTCTACTACACTAAAGACATAGTCATGCCAAAAATCAAGCATTAAGAATCAGCCGTTAATTTTTTATAAATATTTGAAGTTACGCTCATTGAAACGACCGATTAGTGTGACGTCACTCGTCACTCTGCAACAAAATTCCATTGACAGCAGATTGACAGTGACGAGCACTTCGAACTTCGAGCAGGTAGATTTGGATTATGGTTATGTTGTTATGTATGCCGTTTACAATAGATTTGACGTTGGCGACACCAGCAGCACATGGCGTGGCAGCGCCTCGGCGCGACCCGATTATTACTGCCTTGTGACGTCACGACACGTTTTTGATCGCGTCAAGAATTTCGAATTATTTGGTATTTTCAATTGAAGATTTTGGACACCAGAGATAAGATATTATATTTTTTTCGTAATGGGGTAGTATACTATGTAATGTATGAAAATCAGTAGAAAAACTGCACAACATTATTCTATAGGCTAAATGGTGATGGTAAAGTGGGATACTAAATTATTTTCCAGCATAGTGTCTATAGAATTAGTCACAGAAAAACAAACTGTAATTTGAATTTAGCGCCACAGCGACGACCAATAGTATTCGAGCCGCTGACCATCTGGCAACGCTGCTCAAAATGCCTCTAAAGACAGCTGACTCCAACAGTTCAACGACGTTTGGTGTCGTGTGAATCGTGTGACATGTGACATTGTTATAGTAAAGCCTAGTAGGTACTCATAACCGCGAAATTCACTCTTTTTTGAAATTGCTTCGACAATTTGACGTTTGATTCACGCATAAAACGTCAAATTGTCGAAGCAATTTCTAAAAAAAGCAAATTTCGCTGTTATGAGTACTACGCTTAACTTTTCACGTTGTTTGATGTAGTAAATTTGACGTTCCGTTCTTGACGGTCAATGTCAGTGCAAATTGTGCGTTCTCAACACCGTGATGTGTTGCCAGATTGTAAAAACTAACTACGTCACGAACTTTTATTTTAACGTAGGGCCGGGGCTAAGAGGAAATTTAAAGAACAAAATTCCAGTGTATTGCGGTTTTTACAAAGTAACTGATTACACTTAATAGTACGATAAGTCGAGTATATCACTAATCACTACGCAGTAGTTGAAAATCACTTGTATACTACCCCATTCCATCATTTATTAGGATGTTTGTTAATGTGTTTTATTATTTATTCCATATTTAATTGAATGTGCAAGTTCCCTATTGCTGCAACAGGTACCACAGCACTTATACTCACTTTTACCGACAATTTCAAAATTTAACGTAGTCACCTTTTTCACAACTTTTCAAAAATATATTGGCGCAAATATAGGTAAACAAATCACAAACAAATCTAATGACCAATGTTATGTGACAATGACATAAATGGCTCCAGCCCAATCTGCGCACACAAAACATTCTAATTAAAATTAGTGTTTTCTCTCCTAAATTCCAGTCCTAATCCTTGTGTCCCTTTCAAATATCAGTATAGTTTTTACGTGATTCCAAGCTGTATCAGAAGCTCTGTCTTGAAATCTGCTGAAATAATTTCCGGCATAACAAATATCAGGTCTAGAACCCAACATAAGGTACCATCGTCACCAAAAGTAACTGGAACGAAAATAATTCATATTAACCTCCTGGACTATACCAAGTTAACCTATATAGATAAACCTAAAATTATATAGTTTGACAAATACCTGACATCTAAAACCATATATTGTTCGTCGATTTTTAACTGACACTTTCCGTATGAGGAGCGAGGGGGTGTTTCATATGACAAAAACAGGTGTGACGTCAGGTAACCACTGGCATTGGCGTTCTAATGGAGGGAGCCACCAGCTCACATCAGATTAAAATCGACGGACAATAGTTCAAGAGCTAATATGATGCTGTCCCAGTTACTTTTGGTGACGATGGTACATAAGACATCCTATGAATTCTCGAAATGGCTTCTCTGTTAGTCTATCAGGTACAAATGTCAACATTTAATTTTGGTTTTTTTGGAATAGCTGATATTTTACAGTCCTCCATTTTAAATTTCTTTAATGAACCCTTATTGTTGCCAGCAAATGAAGGAACAAGGAACTACATAAATAACAGAAATATAGAAAATAAAATCCTTATAACTTCCAGGTTATCCTGGAGGAGCAAGACCAGGAGAAGGATATCCGCCAGGTGCAAGACCAGGAGAACGTTATCCGCCAGGAACGATACCAGGAGAACGTTATCCGCCAGGAACGATATCAGGAGAAAGTGCAGCTAGTTATCCTCCAGGACCAAGACCAGGAGAAGGCGGTGCAGGATATCCTCCGGGAGTTGGACCAGGAGAAGGTGGTGCAGGATATCCCCCAGGAACTAGACCAGGAGAAGGTGGAGCTGGTTATCCATCTGGTACAAGACCAGGAGAAGATGGAGCCGGTTATCCACCTGGTACAAGACCAGGAGAAGGCGGTGCTGGATATCCGCCAGGAACAAGACCAGGAGAAGGTGGAACAGGTTATCCACCAGGAACAAGGCCCGGAGAAGGTGGAGCAGGTTATCCACCTGGTACAAGACCAGGAGAAGGTGGTGCTGGATATCCACCAGGAACAAGGCCAGGAGAAGGTGGAGCAGGTTATCCACCAGGAACAAGGCCAGGAGAAGGTGGAGCAGGTTATCCACCTGGCACAAGACCAGGAGAAAGTGGAGCAGGTCATCCACCACTAGCAAGACCAGGAGAAGGCGGAGTCGAACATCCTCCAGGCTCAAGACCAGGAGGAAGTGATGCAGGTTATCCACCAGGAACAAGGCCTGGAGAAGGTGGAGCAGGTTATCCACCAGGAACAAGGCCAGGAGAAGGTGGAGCAGGTTATCCACCAGGAACAAGACCAGGAGAAAGTGCAGCTAGTTACCCTCCAGGACCAAGACCAGGAGAAGGCACAGCAGGTTATCCACCGGGAACTAGACCAGGAGAAAGTGGAGCAGGATATCCTCCAGGCTCAAGACCTCAAGAAGGCGGTGCTGGTTATCCACCGGGATATCCTCCAGGCCCGAGACCGGGAGGAGAAAGTGGTGCAAGTTATCCGTCAGAAACAAGACCAGGACAAATTGGTTCGGGGTATCCTCCAGCAACAAGACCAGGAGAAGGTGGTGCAGGATATCCACCAGGAACTAGACCAGGAGAAACTGGAGCAGGATATCCGCCAGGCTCGAGACCAGGAGAAGGTGGTGCAGGTTACCCATCTAGTGCCTGGCAACCAGGTAACTAGAATGTTTTTTTTTTTTTTCCTAAAGAAATATGTTAGATACCCAAAGAAGCAAGTAGCGAATAATTTACTGCGTATCTTGAAAATTGCATTAAAACTATCAATTTGTCACAAACTCGTAGACCAAAATAACTATTGAACATGCTAAAAATTACTATTCGTTTCCACTATTTAGGGGCACTAAGACCTGGTGAGAGGGGAACTGGTTATCCTTCTACCGCAGGAACACCAGGAACGGGAACATTCGGAGGACAACTGGCAGGTCAATATGAGAGTCACGCGGGACAGTCTGGCCGATTTTCAGGGACGTTTCAGGGAACTTATGCTCATGGGGGAATCGGAGCGGGTCCTGGAGTTGTAGGCCCTTCTGGACAACCTAGCCAAGGTAATGAGATGATTAAACATAATACATTAATCCTACAAAAAGGGTGCTCTTTGACAAAATAACCCAGGTCGAATGATTAAAGTGTCCAAAAAATTGCGGGATCTCACCTCTACTTAGGATATTTTCAGTTTACAAATTTATTTCAGGTCAGTGGGTTGATGGCAAATGGGTTCCTTCAACTCAAACTGTCTCTGGAAGGCCTAGTGAAGGTGGCCAGTGGATTGATGGAAAATGGTACCCCTCAGCTGCTGGACCAGTTGCAGGACGACCTGTTGAAGGAGGTCAGTGGATTGAAGGTAAATGGTATCCCTCCACTCCTGGGACAATTGCGGAAAGGCCTAGTGAAGGTGGTCAGTGGATTGATGGCAAATGGGTTCCTTCACCGTCCGGCCCAGTTATAGGAAGACCTGGCGAAGCTGGCCAATGGATCGATGGAAAATGGTATCCTCCAACTACTGGGACGATTACGGGCAGACCTAGTGAAGGAACAGGCCAATGGGTTAACGGGAAATGGGTGCCTTCGATTGGCGGAGGTGGTGAAGGTGGTCCTGGATATCCATCAAGTACTGCAGGAACAGGTGCCGGGCAATGGATTAATGGTCAATGGGTTCCATCTGGTAGCGGCGGTAGGTCTAATATATTTCGTAGTGATTTCAGATTACTAACAAAATATTTGCATCAGGTCCAGCTAGGCCGCCAAGTCCATATGGACCCAGTTACCAGCCATCAGGCGCACCTGAAACTTATCCGAGTCCAGATTATTCAGGAAGGGTTCCCAGCGGAGTTGTACCGCCTGGAAAAATTACAGAAGGAGGACCAGGAGCTGGCCAATGGATTAACGGAAAATGGGTACCTGCAGAAGCAGGAGGTAGATAAAATTAACTTAGTTTTGTTATTCCTATGTAAATAACTTATCTTTGTAGGCCCTAGCCAAGGCCCAGGTCAATGGATTAGTTCTGGAGGCAAGTATTCTCAATTTTTATGTCGCGCAAGGAAAAAGGGAATAATTTTGAGTTTGTAGGTCCTGGACAAGGTGCAGGGCAGTGGATTAATGGGAAGTGGGTACCGTCTGGAACTGCAGAAGGAGTTACGGGTGCTGGAGGTGGGCAAGATAAATTTCCAAATGTTTTTGCAGCATTAAATAACAATAATTTTGCTTTGTAGGTGGTCAATGGATTGATGGGAAATGGGTTCCTTCAGGAGGCAAGTATATAAGCTAATGTTGCAGCAGTACCAATAGCTTTTAATTTGTAGGTCCAACTCAAGGCCAAGCTGCAGGACAATGGATTAATGGACAGTGGGTACCATCTGGAACTACGCAAGGAGCTCCGAGACCTGGAGGTGAGTAGATATAGCTTCACACTGGTTTTTGCCGCATCTAGAATTAATAATTTTAGGTCCTGATCAAGGTGCAGGTCAATGGATTGATGGAAAATGGGTTCCTTTAGGAGGCAAGTACATCCGTTAGTTTTGAAATAAATCAGCAGTAAACAAATATCTTCGATTTATAGGTCCTAGTCAGGGTCAAGGTGCAGGACAATGGATTAATGGACAATGGGTGCCATCAAGTACCGCAGGACCTGGAGGCAAGTATAATACCAATACAGCGGAAGCATGAATGAAATTAATATTCTGTTTAACAGGTCCTGGTCAAGGCGCAGGACAATGGATCGACGGAAAATGGGTGCCCCAGTCTGGAACCGCAGGAGGAGGCGCAGGTGCCGGACAATGGATCGATGGAAAATGGGTTCCTGCAGGAGGTAAGTTAAAATGATTTTTGCTCTGGGTATCTAGCATTAATACTACTGATTTGCAGGACCTAGTCAAGGTGCGGGACAATGGGTCAATGGAAAATGGGTTCCATCTGGAACTGCAGATGGCGGTGAGCATATTCCGAATATATTTTTTGGCAGCAACGTAATTAACTTTGGTTTTTAGGACCCGGCCAAGGTGCGGGACAGTGGGTTGATGGAAAATGGGTACCATCTGGAGCTGGAGGCAAGTATATCAATTTATATTGAAATGTTTTTGAACAGCATTACCAATTTTCGGTTTATAGTCCTTGGTCAAGGTGCAGGACAATGGATTGATGGCAAGTGGGTTCCTTCAGGAGGTAATTATTAGCCTGTAATACTTTGAATTAGCAAAAAAACATTCTATCGGTTTGAAGGTCAAGGTGCTGGACAATGGGTGGACGGAAGATGGGTTCCTGCAGGAGCCGAAGCACTTACAGCCGACGATGCGGACTCTCAAGTACAAACCTCAGTTCAAGAAGCGAATAACGAAACTAAAGCCAGTGCCCAAGCTCAAGGCAAATTCCAAGGCGGCACTGCCCAATCGCAAGTTTCAGGAACGTACTCGGGTACGGGTTCTTTCAGTGCTTCGGCTGGTTCGGATGATGGCAAAAGGGGCGCGTTAACGCAAGTTTCCGGAGGCAAAGCTGGAGCACAAAGCAGTGCTCAAGGTGATTATTTATTTTAATCTAATTCAACATTTTATAATTAGTGTTGGTTTAGGTAGAGGCGGAGCGGGACAGTCTCAAGCGCAGGTCACTCTAGATTCTGCTAGTGGAGACACGTTATCGTCAGCACAAACTTCAGGACTGCAACATGGCACTCAAACGCAAGTACGTGCCAGCGAAAAAGGAGGCCTGGCAGATGCTCAAGCTAATGGATCAGGGGCAACGTCATCTCAAGCTCAAATAGGTTTTACTCCTTACGATGAAAATGAGAAAGATAATCAAACGTCGCCGTTCAGGGGAGGAGGTACCGCTGCAGCACAAAGTGGTTCTCATGCAGGCATGACCCAAACGCAAATTCAAGGAAAGTTTAGATACGGAATCAGGTAAAGTAATAAGCCTTTTGGTTTTATTCGTAACCTATAATATGAGTGTAGGTATCAAGGAGCGGCACAAGCGGGATCTGGTTCAACGGCGATTAGAAATTTGACAGAGCCTTCAGGATTTTTCAAACCCATCAACTTTACAGCTTCAAAAGTTGAACACAACAACAGACAAAGTCAACAGGTGTCGGTAAACGCTCCCACAACAGCTGTACCAGAAGAATATAGTACACCTTCGGAGACTTTGTTAGGTGTGGAAACCAATAGAGAGGTAAATTATGATAATATGCAAAAATAGAAAACAAATTAATTAATTGTAGAAACTATTCGAAATACAGGTACACAAACTGGACCCAGTAGCTCAACCTCAAGAAGATCCTGTTGTGGTTTCATCTCCTTCAGCAAGTGATGCACCGAATGGAGATTACGACGACCAAGAATATGAAGACTACGATGAAGAAGCTGAAGCGGAACAAGAACCTGAACCGCTACAATCCATGAACACTCCTGCAAAAAGAAATTTGGAATCGCCTATAAAGAAATCAGAAGTATATCATCAACGGAAACCCGCGAGTGTAGTGAGTCAAACCTCCAACACGCAGAAGCAACATATTATTTTGGATCCTCTAGAAAATTTGGATGCTACGGTGCATCAGAGCGAAGGTGATTTTCCTGTTGATGGTATGGTATTGCAGCCTGGACAAATTATACCAGGTAATAATTTAGGTATAAGTTTGAGTGAATTTTTCCAAAGTACAAATTATTTTAGGATCATCAGGTTATCAAATCCCAGCTGGTTTTAGAGGAAAAGTCCAATCCATAGCTAACGGACCAAACACATACGCTGTAGGCAAAAATTCTCAAGCTCAAAGTGTCACATTGTCCCCAGGAAGTGGTAAAATCTTCTACAACAACCCCAGCAATCCTATTTACGGAGTAGTCACCAAAACATCTTACAAAAACGGGCATTACGGTTCTGGATACTCATACCAACCGATTTATCATCCGGTAAATTATCGACTGAAAAGCGGCAAAGTATTACCCAACTTTGTATCTGTGAGCAAATCAGAGGCAGGTTCCAGAAACTTGAATACAGGCAAAAAGACACCGAGCGTCTATTATACGCAAAGCAGTTCTTGCGGAATGTTCACGAACTCTTGTGTGTATTCCAATGGAAAGAAAATGTGTTTTCCGGTTAGGAAAACGAATCCCGATGGCACGCCTATGAGCTGTTGAAACCGATACAGTACTAGATTTTGACAATTTTCTGTCAGTTAATGCAAGAGAGCCACTAGATGGCTGAAACATTTTGGTAATTCTTAATGCTGTACACCAAAAAAATTTAATTAGATGTTAAGGATAATGTATTTTTAAGTAATAGATTCGTTTTTTTAGTACTGAGGTATTTTTTTGTGGATTATCGCATGGATGTCTAGGTGGATCTGGCATAGATAAAACGCGATTTTGCATTAGTGGTTCCATTGGTTAGTCTGATCTTGGTTTAGGCACGGAATTCAGATAACTCATTCGCTAGATGACAGGATGACATCAAAAGCTCGACTAGTAGGTACCTACTATTGACACCAAGTGGTACTACACCTTAATGCTGCCTCCGCCAAGGTGCCGGGAGTGTTGAATTTTACCGGCACTTCCATTGCAGTCAGCTGCAGTATTTTCCAAATATACAGACTGTTTCGACATTTTTATTTTATAAAATGTTTTGGCTTGTGTAAATTTTAAATCATGTATATGAAATTTGGATACCAGCCTTAATATTTTTCTGTTTTAGAAATAAATAGAATTTCGTCGTTGAGCTTCGTTATTGTGAACACTTGAGAGCTTCTTTTTAACTTTGTAATACCTAAATGTAAGTTTTTTGTCAGAAGAAAGAAATTTTGTTTGCTTTTGCCATTTCTTAGTATTACCCCTAATACCACATAATTCAAATTTTCTAATGAGTAAATACCTGTTTAGACAGTCATAGGCAGTGTTGCCAAAGCTACCCCGTTCGGGGTAGATCTACCCCTTTTGAAAACAATCTCGCCCTTCCGCTCCCCCTAACTAAATCTACCCCGCTCTAAATACAATCTATGTGCTATAACACAAAAAGAATGCTTCTGCTTATCGCTAATTAAAAATACTTACAAAATCCAAATTGTGAGAAACAATTTATTTTATCTGAACTGTACCTATGCAACGAGTTTTTTCAGTTTTTTTGTCTAAGCCTCAGATATAACTTCAGTTAGAGATTCCTTTGAGTGTCTCCTTTAAATTTGTATGGTGATTGATGCAGAAAAATATGTGAAAAGATTATAGTTATTTACCTAACAGCGTCAAAAACCCATGACTTATAAAATTTTAGCTATATCATTAGCAAAGCAAGCAGTCTGCTTTACTGCACACTATGCGGTGAAGTAAATACCGCACACTTTGCAGGTTATTTTAAGGCAGACTATACGGTAAAGTAACTTTACCGCATAGTGTGCGGTAAAATGCTAGTTTTTGCACGCTCGTAGGTGAAAATTTTGTTGCTACCCCGCACTGATTCTATTCTACCCCGCTATCTTGCCATAATCTGCCCCAATAAAGAAAGAGCTTGTGGCAACACTGGTCGTAGGCCTTGAATAGATCCAAAAACATGCCGAGCGCCAACTCGCCATTTTCAATGTGATTCACTATATGTTTTAAAATTTCGAAGATTGCCATTTGTGTAGATCTGAGGTGTAGATCTATAGTGTAGAAAGCCGCGTTGACAGTTACTAAAGATGACACAGTCAGTTAAAAAATTCATTAACTTGATATTCACTACTTGTTCAAAAACCTTAGAGAACGCGGACAGTAAGCTTAACTGTCTAGAATTTCCAGATCACCCTTTTTGTACAATGGTTTAAGGACAGCAATCTTTAAGTTATCCGGAAATACTCCAAAAGTAAAAGAATTGGTAATTATATATGACAATATTATGTTTTAATGCTGGGGTCGCTTTACAATACCTGTTGGCAGTTCATCTATTGTCGTATCATTATTACCATCTTGGAATGTCTAGGTAGGGACGAATAAATTAGAAGACACAACTTGATGCTAGGGAAAGACTCACCCGCTACATGAAAAGCTGGTTTTCTGTCCACCTGGCTATCCACGAACCAGTTGCCAGAAAACCTCACCTTAACTATTAAAAACCCTGTACGGGATACGAGGCCTATTTCATCAAATCATTTTACACCGTCTTGCATTGTTATCATCAGTTAGATAACATGATGCTAAAACGCACTTGTGCAGGGAAATAGATGGGAGTGGGGGATTTCGCTGAAAAAAATATTTCAGAAAATGTTGTCATAAACAAGGAAAATATATAATTATACACCGTCTTGCATTTATTTATTGAGTTAATTTGTGCACAAATAAAATTGAATTAACACATGCAAGACGTTTTCATGGAGGTTTTGGAGTTGTAATATTAGATAGAAATTGTCAATTTTTCAGAGGGGTGAAATATCATTTCACACCACATCATGTTGATTTAGATTAAAGCTCGAATGTAGAATAGCCACTGGATACTGATGCAAGACGTCCTGTGGAGGGATAACGGGCTGCAAGACGGAGGTCAATGTATTGTCTTATGAAGGAGTGAGAAATCATTTTACACCGTCTTGCACTGGTACTAATGGGAAAAACAGAACACATTGATAACATTTAAAAAAATACAAGACGTTCTAAATAGAAAGAAAGGACTGCAAGACGGTGATGAAGTTGACTAATTTTGAGGGGGTCAATCCATCAGGTACAAAGGTGAATACTACTCCAAATTACAAATTACGCACATTAATTTTAAATATTTTTGCTCTTTACCACGTAGAATAATTCTATTTTGCAAAATTCTCTTAATATTATGTATATTTGAATATCTCTACGGACATCAAATAAGAAAAGGTTGAAAATTGTTCTCTTTCTGACGGCATATAATCATTTAAGTTTTTTTAGGGTGGATATGCCATAACACATAACGGATTGTAATTATTAGCTAAATTTGAGAAATTTGATTTTAAAGCAGCAAAAAAATGACAACAAATGATCTGTCTGGAATTGTAAACAGAAATTATAATTCCTGTATTCAGCAGACTCCCCTGTTGAGCTGTTATGTCAACTGTCCTTTTCCATCTGTATGATTTAGAAAAGAATGAACAGTGAACGGTTCAGTAAATAACTCAACAGTTCAGTTAAAAAAGAAAACGGATTTATTAACTTTTTTCCCCCAAAAAAACGTCTTGGACTTATGTATTACCATTTCTTAACATATATTCTTCCGGCGGACATAAGCATGAAGTGGTGTAAAATAATTTCTCACTTCCTCATGAGAAAACGCATTGACATCCGTCTTGCAGCTCGTTATCCCGCCACAGGACGTCTTGTATCAGTATCCAGTAGCTATTCTACATTCAAGCTCTAATCTAAATCAAAAATGGAGTGGTGTAAAATGATTTTATTTTCAACCACATATGTAATGTTGACATTGCAGGTTTTTCAAAATCTTGAAAGTGTCACATTTCTGGACTTTGACATTTATCGGGACGGTAATGCATATGCCTGCCTAGGACGGAAAAGCATTTTCCGTCCGGGACGGCAAATGCTTTTCCGTCCCCATTTCCCTGCTCGTTCCAAATTGATAATTTTCATACAGCTCTCACATATAATAATAAAACCACATGTATTACATGGAACTAATTAAATCTATTCACTTATTTACATTAATTGTTAAATTAGCATTGTTGTTTATAATGGAAATCTTGAGACCATCCTGTTGGAATTGTGTTTCGTTTGGAACTATTATCTCTTGCGCTTGCGGATGAGTTTCCGCATGTGATGTACTTGTGGATGCACTGGACAACTGAATACCTTTGGAAGTAGAGGATAGCATCAGAGCAGTCTTACTTTTGTTCTCCAAAGATGCCTCTATGTAGCCTTCAGCAACCGTGCTCGATTTCCACCCTCCCAGTCTTTTGAGTTGCAATAGATCGGCCCCGTTGTCAACCAATAAGGTTGCGGAAGTACGACGAAAAGCATGCCCTGTAAAAGTTTCAATTTTTGGAAGCTTCAAAAAAGCAGCTATTTTATGTGGAAATTTTGAGATTGAATGATAGCCAATTGCTTGGTTATGTAATTTCCCATTTCGCCATTGAACAAATAACCTGTCATTTTTCAAATTTTTCCGCAAAGTGAGGTATTTGTGGAAAATAGCAACCCAATCTGGATCGCTTATGATAAACGATCGACTTGTGTAAGTTTTTGTGTGTGGAATTTCTATAGCGATCTTTCCTTCCAAAACGTTGACGTGCTCCATTTTCATCTTGACTAGTTCATCGCTCCTACATGCACCCGACACACCAACAATTAGCGCTACCTGAAACCAGATAAAAATAAAATGGGTAACCTAGCTATAGCATACAGAAAATCATTTTGATTTTCGCATTTTTATCTTCTTTGTATATTTTTTGAAAACCTACCTTGATGCTAATGAATTCTTCAGCTGCCTTCGTGAGGAACTCGTTAATGTTTTCTCTGGAAAAAACGCTCGACTTTTTCGGCTGAAAGCCCAGATTTTGCCGCTTCAAAAAAGCTATAAGTTTTGCGTAATTGGAGATATCAACTTTCTCTTTCAATTTAATCATGGTTTTCAACATACTGTAAGTCGACCATAAAGTCGAAGGCTTCTTTTCCTTAGATAATTCGCCAAAATACGCCAACAAAACGGTCTCCGAGGCAGTATTTCTCGTTCCTTTCTGGCTACACCATGCTTCGAATATTTGAAAAGCCTTTTCGTACCGAAATTTGCTTTTTGCTGGAAGCAAACTCTCTCCAATCCTGTCTGCTGCTTCTTTTAATTCAGGTGGGGTACAATCCATCGCTTCATCTTCACTTTCCGAAATCATTTCTTTGGGGAGAACGGGGAGAAATCTAGTGAAAATCTATTATTTCCGCAAAAATACTGAGCGAAAACTACCGTCGTTAAGGCGTTGTTGATCTTATCTATGGTTGTTGATTTTGCGGTTTCCTGTGGTTTCGTCTTTTGTTTTGGCCTTTACAGGGCCTTTGAGATCGTCAAAATTGATGACATTGACAAAAAAAGTGAAATATTTTTTTCTAAGGCCAGTTTTACACTATATGAAAATTTCGTATAACAGAATCTTTAGTTTTTGCATCAGAAAATTAAGGGTTGAAAATAAAAAAGTATACAAACCTCGACGGAAAACTTCATTTCTGTCTCGAGGTTGAGTTTATCTCGACGCTTCGCGTCTCGATAAACTATAATAACCTCTCGACCAGCAATGAAGTATTTTCCGTCTCGGATTGTAATATACTATTTCACCCCTCTCAAAAATTGACAATTTCCATCTTATATTACAGACCCAAAACCCCCATGAAAACGTCTTGCATGTGTTAATCCAATTTTGTTTGTGTACAAATTAAGTCAATAAATAAATGCAAGACGGTGTTTAATTACATATTTTCCTTGTTTATGACGACATTTTCTGGAACATTTTTTTCAGTGAAATCCCCCACTCCCATCTATTTCCCTGCACAAGTGCGTTTCAGTACCATGTTATCTAACTGATGATAACAATGCAAGACGGTGTAAAATGATTTGATAAAATAGGCCTCGTATCCCGTACTATAACAGCACATCTTCCTTTCCTTAAAGTAATTTCATATTCACCAGAGGTCAACATTTAATTCTATACTACAAACTATTACTAGGCCTTATCATACTATGAAACAAAATCTTTAAGGCAAGCAGGTTGTTTAACAAATCTTTTTGGTCTGCCTTGTGTCATTCTATTTGGGGAAGCATCATCTAGGTTTGGCGCGCTGTCATCAGTGTCATCCACCGTTTTGATTGGCACTGATGGGGACGCATTCCCTGTGACACTCGCGTTTTCATTATCTCGCGTTTCACTATTTCTGCACGATAAATTACCATCACCCTGCAACAAACTGGGAATATCTGAGGGTTCACTAGGGGGAATAAGATCGTTTTTCTTTCTTTCAACTTCTGAAAAGAAAAAACTTTTTCCTGCTCATCTTTTATTAAATTTAGGAAATAGTCTTTAATCGGTAAATTTTGAATAACTGACCGGACATAAGCTTCGACCTCCGCTGTCAACTCTCCATTTGCTAAAATTCTAGACTTCACCGGTCCGCGGCAATAATTAAACTTTTTCCTGGAGTATAAATAACGGAATATTTATATCGCATCAGACGCATGCGAAATCTCTGCAAACGAGGTGTTAACTCATCTAAATTTTTAGTTTGAAGGATCTGAAGCAGAGGCCTCTTTTTCAATTTGAGCATAGCGGAGTTCTGCTGAGCTTAGTAATCGTGATGCAAAACCTTTAATTTCTCGAAAGCTTTCTTTATTTTCTTGCATTAAACAAGCACCTATGCCTAAAGAACTAGCATCAGCACTAATTATTAGTGTTTTGTTATTGTTAGCATCAAAAAATGTCAAGTTTGGTGGACTCTCTAAAAACTCTTTTAGGGTCTTGACTGGCTTCCTTATGAAGCTTAGTCAAAACTTTATTTAAAATTTCATCGTGCCTTTCCAGAGTGCTCGCATGGATCAAGATATCATGCATATGTGTTACACATCCTTCAATACCTGCTAAAATTTTAACAAAATTCATTGTGAAATACTCAGGCGCACAAGAGATTCCAAAAGGGAGCATTTGAAAGAAAAAACGGTCATATGGCGTTATAAAAAGTGTTAACAATTGGCTCTCCTTACTTAATTTAATTTGGTAAAATCCGCTGGTTGCATCGAGTTTTGTGAAAAATTTCGACCCATTTAATTGAGCTAACGTGTGTTCTATTTTTGGAAGAGGATAATGTGACCGCAAAACGCTTTCGTTCAATTTGGTGTAGTCACAACAAAGACGTACAGAATCGCCCTTGTTAACAGATACAATAGGGCTCACCCATGTAGTAGGCTCCTCGATTGGCTTAATAATTCCTAATTTTAGCAATCTATCAATTTCCACCTTTAATTTAGGCACAAATGGTAAAGGAACACTCTGTACAAAAGGCTTAGCGTGGGGCTTAATTTTAATTGACATTTCATTCTTAAATTCTCCCATCTCACAAAATATTCCAAGGAACTTTGTAGAAATTAGTTCTAAATTGAATCTTGAAAAATAATTTTGACTTGAAGGCTGACAAACAATATCAAAATTTATCTCGTTTACACTTTTTATATTTCACTTAGAAAAATTTAGAACATTAAACTTTATTATTGAATTTCTACTCAGTATGGGTTGTCTTAACTTTTTAATTGCATAAACAGTCTCACTTCTAGTAACACCCTCATAGGTAAAATCAACTCTCAGTTCACCAACGGTGCCGTTGGTGGTCATGCGCAGCCCCAACTGCATCACACCTTTCAATTTCAGTAGTATATTCACAAGGCAATTTTTCATAAGGAAAACAATTTACATCTGCCCAAGTGTCAACAGAAAAAGGAACTTTTAACTTATGGTCTAAACAGCGCCGTAGCAAGGCCTTGATGGGCCCTGGTGCTACTTTTGTTAGAGGCCCCCCCCTAGAGTTGGGAAGTATTCGAATACTCGGTATTCTGAATCCTATTCAGAATAAATTTGGCTGGTATTCGAATACATTTGTGTATTTGGTATTCGACTGAATACTTTTTTGGTCAGTATTCGGTATTTCTGGATTCTGAATATCGTTTTTGAATCTCACTGTTTGAAGACTCTCTTTCTATTCGAATCCTGTATTCGGATCCCGGTATTCTAATCCTGTATTGGAATCCTGGTATTCGAACCCCGTATTGGAATTGTACGTAAAGAGTATGACGTCGGTTGAATCCGAAAAAAGTTGTGCAATTTTGTGCTCATTAAAATATCGCTCTATTTTAAACATTTTGAGTGCTACCGAAGATTCGGAGATATCCGGAAAAACCCGAAATACTCATCGGAAAGAAACTCTTTATCACCAATTCACAACAGCAGAATAAAAATATTAAACAATAGTGTTCGCGAGTCTTTTTGAAGTTACCAAGATTAATATCAAATAAACTTTTAGCTACGTCATCACAGTCAGCCAGCACAGCGTTGCCGTCAACGGGCAGCTAATTTCTAAAGGTAGGCGCCCACTGATCCGCGCCGAATGAGCCGCACGCTTCGCACGAATCGGAAGACAAGAAAATACCGTTTGGGCGTTTGCATTTCAGGTTTTGAAATTTTTAGCATGATGCAATCAAATTGAAATAATTGAGTTCAAGTGAGTGATTATCCTGCTTTTTAGTGGGCCCCCCAAGGTGTGGGCCCTGGCGCCATGGTTGCTCCGGCGCTAGGTCTAAAAGAATATCTACATACCATCTGTCCTTATGATCAGTGTAAACCTGCCCTATGAAGGAACTGTCATCATTTTTTGTCACCTGTAGAACCTGCTGATCATGTTCATCATCTGAGCTTCCGCTACCGCTCTCTGACTGAGGTACAGACTTTTTTTCTACACATAATACTCCAATGTCCCTTCTGTCGCAAAATCTGCACACTGAAGTCTTTGCTGGACATTTTTCGCGGTCTACGCATGTAGGAATACCGCAGTAACCACATTTCTTCTCTTTTACATTGTCTTTACCTTCTCTCTCTGATTTTTGAGGCATATTTCTGGTTTTGTTCCACTTTGACCTGTAAGAACTTTGATCAATTGCACTTACCGCCTGGTCTTGTCTCATAATTTTATTCTGATTTTCGTGAAGTTCAGCCTGGCGCACCATCTGAATTGCTTTTTGCAGAGTCAAGGCTTCGTTTAGTTGCATCCGTTCACTAACTTTGACATCCGCTATCCCAATAACAATTCTATCTCTAATGAGCTCCTCTTTAAGAGTCCCATAGTTACAATGTTCAACAAGTCCATGCAGGTTTGTAATAAAATTTTCAACAGGTTCACCTGGACGTTGGACTCTCGAAATAAACTGGTAGCGTTCGAAGATGATATTCCTTTTGGGGTATAAAATGGTCTTCGAAGATCTTGAGTACATCATCAAAGGTTTCGTTACCTGTTAATGATTTTTGTAGCAAGATTTCTTTGGCTTCACTACCCATTATGTAGACCGAGATGTAGACTAAAACATCAATTTTTTCCTTATCTGTCTTCCTCTCATATCCGCTCAGACCGCTCACAAACATGTACCTTTCCAGGCGTTTCCTCCTATGAGGCCAAGTTTGAGGCTGGGAAAAGTTGAACTCAGCCGGCGCAGTTACGTTCGCAAACGTTTCTGTCTGTACCTTATTTTGTAACATGTTTTCAAGTTACCAATGCAGTTTCCCGTGTATACCTCACTCTACCTGTATGATCCTTAGGTGTTTTTGCACGTCGCTGCAACCGCCGGCTCGGGCTAAGTCCCCGTTTTCCGTGCGATTTCGACTGTCATAAAAAATGACGGAGGACGAAAAGTTCGATCACTCTTTACACGCTTAATACGATAAAGCACCGATTGCCACCATGTCGTTTCATTATTACCAATTACCATCTTGGAAGGTCTAGGTAGGGACGAATAAATTAGAAGACACAACTCGATGCTAGGGAAAGACTATATTGACTTTGACACACCTGGACACACCCGCTACATGAAATGCTGGTTTTCTGTCCACTTGGCTATCCACGAACCATTTGCCAGAAAACCTCACCTTAACTTATAAAAACCCTCCCGGTGAATGTCAATCCTAAAAGATTAAAATATAAACCAGATGCCTAACAGCACATCTATCCCACTGCTATGCTTGTTCTTCAGTTTACCAGCAATTTCCGGAACTTCATTTGGCATTACCAGTCTCAAAAAAATTGAATGGATATTGTTATTTATATTGCAAGAAAAGGGGACATCTCGTAACCTATCCAGAAGTTCTGGAATAACTGATAACAAAAATTCATTGTAACTATTTCCAATATCTTCAAGACTTTCCTCGACCTCGAATTTTTTCCCATTTTTGCTAATATTGTACTACCTGAGGTAGGCTTTTTTGATGGTTTTTTATTTAACAGTTTTCGAGGGAAGTTCTTATTAAAAAGTACTAAAACAGTGTTCATGAAATTATTCCATAGTTCATTAACATTACTTTTTTGCATATTATACACTTACTTAGTACTGCTCATTCAAACTGCTCAGAAAATTATTCTTGTTTTCCTCAGTGAATAATCTAACATATACAGGGGGAGAGTTTTCATTTGAAATGATCTCAAGTTCAATTTTCTGTGCAGTATGGTCCGACAAAAAATTCTCAAACACCCCACTTTTAAAAAACTCAGCATTCGTAAAAATATTGTCAATACAGCTTGATGCATTATTTGCTATTCTGGTATTTTCAAAAATAGTTTGGTTTACCTACATTAAAAGAATTTAATATAGAAAGTAGCTCCGTTTTTGTGTAATTGTCCTTCAAAGGTTCTCAAAAATCACCTGCAATAAATATTAATTTTTCTTGAAAAATTTTTTTTAGTAGACATTCTACTTTATCTAAAAATAATGTTCCCTGAAGGTGGTCTATATACACAAATGCTTATTGACATTGCCTCACTGAAACTGCATTCTACTGCGGCAGACTCAAACACTCCGCTCACTGCCATTTTCCCAATATCTACTTTTTCCTTAGATTTTAGATTCTTTCTAATATAAACTGCAGATCCCCGTGCTCACCTTCTTCCCGACAGAACTTTGAAATTAGACTAAATTCATTTATCACAATAGTGTTTCAATTGATCAGCACTCCTCCAATGTTCAGTGAAACACAATATTTTACAATTTGAATTGTATCTCATCATGTCATTGACTCGATCTATTGAGTTCCCAATAGATTGATTTTGATGAATTATACTATTAAGGTTATTATAGAAAAGTTTTCATATTTTTAAATATATTAAGTAATAAACTATAATATACATCCATTTCTCAAAACAACGCCTACAAACAAAATATAAAAAAAATAAATCTCAATACTACATTCTGTATTAAAAAAAATGCACAATACAATCTAACACAGACAAGAAAAATTATGTAAAAAAAGAAGGTAACATTAATTAAAATTCATAAATGTTAGCTTAAAATTAGTCATAGATTTGGGAAAAACCTAATTAAAACCTAAAGACAATCAGTTCAGAAAAAAAATTACAAATACTCGCTTAGGTCGTCCTCAACATCGCTGCCAGATTTTGTCAAAACTTTGCCTCGATGTGACAGCAGTGTTGTCACATTGTGATTACGCAATCTAAAACACAAATTTCGATGAAGAAACAAAAATCAATTTTTTTTAAAAAATACATCAAAGCACAAGAAAGAACTTACCTTAAAATAATTACAAAAAAACAGTTAACAATCCTCAAAAATATTAAGAGGCACATGCACAGAGTTAGAGATTTTTTACACAAATCGTACCAGGCCAAAATCATGCATCTAAAAATTTCAGTTAAAAAAGCACAGAATTAATTAGGGGAACCATGGCAGTTTAATTTCGCAAATTTTACTTACACAGTCGTTTTCCTCATCAAAAACTGCCATTTCTTCGCCACCGTCTTCCTTTTCCATACTAAATAGCATAAGCGAGCAAAAGAAGAGAAATATGGTTAGAAAAGGGGAACAGTTCTACTACTTAAAAATACATTTAAGACCTAAATGGTTAACATTTGCCAATATAATTTATTTTCCAAAGAGTCTGTAAAAAGTGATTATCAATGAAATATCTGAATTATTAAAAAATAATTGGGGGACTCAAAATACTGTGTCTTTGATTTTTTGGTAGATTTTGTAATGACAAATTAATTATCATTATTCAAATCAAAACACCTCAACAATTTTTTAGTCAAATATTAAATAAAACCCTCAACCACTTCAGAATGTTACCCTTACCTTGTGTGTAAATGTTGCAGCTGCACTTGAAAATTGTCCACTTGTTCTTGAAGTTCATCATTAGCCCTCTGCAACTTCCTGGAGTGGTTTTGGGCACTGTCCAGCTCATCTTCGGCTGCCGCGTAGTCCTTTTTCAATTCTTCAACCCTGGTTCTTAGTTTTTTCACTTCCGCCTCGTATTGCTCCGCGCGCCTTACCGCATGAGCCAGATCGCTGATTTTGTCTTGTAGCATCTTTTTTAATCTGCTTTGGGAATGTTTTAAGTCCAATATTTCCTAAAACAAAAAAAAAATAAGCAATAGAACAAACTTAAAATAAACTACACCTTACTTTATTTTTATCACATATTTCTTGTTGCAAATGCCTTATTTCCATATCTGAAGTGCTCATTGTCCTATTGCCTTTCCTTTCCAGTCTCTCTTGCACATCTCTCAATTCATTTCTGATTTTTTTGTTATCCCTTTCTAAATGTACTTTTTCTGTTTCTAGCCGTTCTCTTTTAGCCCACTCTGCTGCATTCTCAGCTTGCAATTTTTCTAATTCTGCTCTCAAATCATTCAATTTTTTGTCCATGCCCTCTCTATTGCTAGCTTCTTCTAGCAAATCTGATTTAATCATTTGTATTTCTTTTTCATGATCGTCTTGCAATGTTAGCATCTGTCTCATAGCTTCTTGCTTAGCTTCTCTAAGTTCATCACCCTTTTCTTTTTCTTCTTGCAGTTCACTTGTTATCCTATCCAAAAGTCTATGCAGAGAATCTTTTTCCTCTCTTTCAATAGTAATCGTTTTTGTAGCTTCATCGAGTTTTAATTGCAGCATGGAAATTTTTTGTGGGTCATCTTCCTGTGGTAAAGATGATTTTTTTTGTTTCGCTACTGCTCCTTTTGGACTGCCTCCATCATCTTGATCCAATGGACCTGTACTATCACATTCAGGATTGCTTTGGCTCGATGAGACGCCATTTTGTCGTTCTCCATCACTTAATAAATCTCTTAGAGGGGATACAATTTCCCTGTGATTGGCTTTTGCAGGAGATCCATTGCTGAAAGCAAAATCCTTTAGAGGGTCTTCTCCTAATGCTTCAAATAATTGACTATCAAATTGGCCAGCATGCTTTAACATTAATATATGAATTTTTTCTATTTCTTTTTTTAATTGATCATTTTGTAATTCTACTTCTTCTTTTTCTCTTTTGTGAGTAGAAGCTTCTTTTAGACAATTCTCTAGTTTGGTTCTCAATTGCTTGCATTCTTCTCTGGCTTTGTTTCTTTCATTACGCACTTTTGACCATTTCTCTCTCCAATTGGCAGTACAGTCGGACCACCATCTCATAGTCTTTTCCATTTGTGCTGCACGGCCTTTGGCTTCTTCCAATTCTCGTTGACGTAGAGATTCGTTTGCTTCCCACTCAGAAACATCTCCAATTCGAGAGGAGACTGATGCGGAGTCGTGGTCTCTGGCGTGTTTTCTGGAAGATGTTCCGCTTGTGGTACTTTGGGCCATTTTTCAGTAAACCTGAACAAAAAACAAAAGTATTATTAGTAATATGCTAAAGATATTATATGTATCTTAACATTATTGAAGGGAGTGTTCAGCTCTAATAACAAATCTACAAGATCGCTCCAGGTGTAGAGAGTTCCAAATAAAAATAATTTCCAACCAAACTAACACTATCACCTGCTTTCTCGTCACTTTAAATCATGGTTTAGGAAAGGTATCTAATGTTTCTTAAGAAATGGAAAACTAGTTTTGTTACACCTATCTTTAAAAGTAAGGCAAGGGATAAAATTGAGAACTATCGTGCAATTTAAAAAATATGTTTATTTGGTCTCAAATTATTGAGATAATTGTCACTAATAAAATTGCTCCTCCGCTATAGCCACACCTTAATCAAAGGCAACATGGCTTTTTTGGTGGGAGGTCCACTATAAGTAACTTACAGGACTGGAACTACACAGTTTTTTCAAAGGTCTTTGATAAGGTTAATCATCAAATTTTTCTAAAGAAATTGCCGCTCCATGGCATATTTGGAGGTTTACTTGAGTGGTTAGAAAGTTATCTATTCAAATATCTCAGATTGTATTTAATAATGATTGTCAATCCTTTTCTATTAGAGCTTGGTCAGGGGTATCATCACAAGGTGGTCACCTATCACCATTATTGTTGAATCTTTTTATTACTGATTCATGTCAGTGCATAGAGAATGCCAATTTTTTACGTTTTGCAGACGATTTCAAATTATTTTTGATGATTAAAGATATTGCAGACTGAAAATCTTGCTAAAAATTCAGCAAGATCTTACCTATATCTAATTATAATAAGTAATCCTATTCAATTACTCAGTAAACAATGATTCATAAAAGTGTCAATAAAATCAAATTTACTGTAGTGTCCTCGGTAGTGCCTGTAGTATTATTGTCTCCATTATAGTATTATATTACCATAAAATTGACTTTAATGATGTTCACATTGGAAACAGATAGGTACAAAGGTAAAGTATAACCATTATCAATTGAAAATCGCATCTCTATGGTGACTACTCAAAATTAGAAAAATACCCCTTATAATAATATAAAATAATTTTTATATTTTTGTGTCATACCAATACATTATTGTGTTTTTATACCTTAGATACCATCTACATAATTCATTACTTTATGCCCATGCGGGCATAAAGTACACATTATGGCCCGCGCGGGCATAAAGACGCAAAAAAATTCAATTAACTTATTCTTTATTAACAAAATATAAATTTTCGCTTATAAACATATTATTTTTGTCAAAAAATGATGATGTTTGCACTCTGATGACAATTTGCGAAGTGACACTTTTTTCCCAGGTATTTATTATTCACAACCAACTGGTATGACATAAAAGTTTGTATGCACCACGGGTACTAATAGATATATATATACCCTCGGGCGACTTACGAACCCTCGGGCCAGAGGCCCTCGGCTTTGTAAGACTGTCGCCCTCAGGGCATAATCATCTACTTAGTACCCTTGATACATAAATAACTATTATGCCTAGTCCTGGTACACTATAACAAAGACACCACACGCCCGCAAAAAAACTTGAAAATTGTTGGCGATGCCGCTAGGCTTTGTCACTTGCCGACAAAGCTAAGCCGCTCTTGTTGACAGTGTGAGATATTCTCTTTAGAAGTGGACAAAAGTATAAAATTACACAGATAATTGAATAAAAATCAATTTCAAATTTGAATTTTTAATAAAGGAATAATAGTCCCATTCAAATATTTATATTTGATTTATTTCAATAGTTTAAAACGGAATTTTAAGGATTACCTACTATATGAATTTTGCCCATTTATTTAACATATTAACTCCACTGTATTCTAGAGGTAAATCAGCTAGAATTTCGGGGCAATGGCGTTCGTCACTTCAGTTTTTATAGAAATATCTGGAGTATGTTTATTCTTTATTAACCAATTTGTTTTCATTTGTCATGATAATAATATTTCGACGCCTATGGATTCCCACGTGACTTCAAAGAGATCAACTGAGCCGCCTTTTTTATGAAATTTCAATTAATGATGGTTAAACTTTACAACAAATGTTTGGGATTGTTGGGTTTCATATCTCACATTTTGGAGTTTGGATGAAATTGACAACATACTGTTCTAAGTTGTTATACTGTTCCTTAGTTTGTATATACTATTATTGACATGCCAGGCCAGTTTGCAGTTTGGAATCTACATTTTTTCAAAAATGGTAGAGAAAATACTTACAAAGAAGATTTGTGCGAATTGTAAATTACAAACCTAAAATACCAAAAGAGGACATTGATTATGTCTCCTTGCAAAATTTATTGAATATTGACTCTTTAGAAAGTACAATATTGTCGCGGCTTTGGGTTGCCTGACAGAAATCTTGGGTTCGTTGTTCGTTTCGTTTATTCCAAAAATCAAAGTCCAATTAACACAGCAATAATTTATTCCACTTAACAATACACTCTGACACTAATTACTTTAATAACTAACTCAACAATTAAACTCTTTACAATCACTATTTAAATCGTATCACAGTCGAACTGAAAACTTAACTTACAAGCTAAAACCCGTCCTTATATATATCCCTAAATCTATTCCTGTAATATCTAGAACACGCACGATAATGTTATTTCTCGATTATAGTAGAATAATTTGCTAGATTCGAGGATATTCGACATCGATTCTTGACAGCCTGGCGGACGCCTATTCTAGCAAGAACGTTTAGCATCATTGTAACAATATTTATGTTGGATGTTAGATTCTTGTTTAAACTTACGAATAATAGTGTAAATAGTCCAAGATTACTGGAAATGGTGTCTCTAGAAGTTCCTCAAAGGATAACAAGGAATTTCAAGGAATTTCTCCTTGTTGCATATTGGTTTTCACAGTACAAATTATGGAATGAACTCGCTTTTGATTTTTTGAACAGAATGGTGAGCAGAATGGCTAGTTTATTAAATATATATTTATAATTATATATTCAATGTACCTATCTCTTGGACAGTTTGATAAAATGACAAAGGAGTTCCTAGTATGTGAGATATGAAAATTCCAAATATAATACCTAAATTAGGACTTGTGATTAAATTGTGGTCAAATTGCATATGTTATTTTTGCACATACATTATACAGGGTGTCCCACGGTGGATGGCGTATTAGACGTTTATGGAGAACTAAAAAGCGGATCATTTTGAAAATTTGGCAACCGGGATAAACGACCATGATCTACACTTTAAAAATATTTTTAACCATGCGGTGTTGCCGCTTCTACTCTAAACTAGTGGCAGCATCGCTAGTTAAAATAGAACACCCTATATCTGATTGCATATTTGGATTCTATGTAAAATTCTGAGCAGATTTCATATGATATACCCTATACCTAAGTTCAACTGTTTTGGAAATATTGACAGTTGAAAATTGACTTTTTGCAACTTTGACAGGCTGTAAAACCTGAACGGTTAATTCTAGAGGAAAACCGATTTTACATTCCTATCTTAGATTTTGATAAACTATCATTTGACACCAACTTTGAACTTAACCGGAGATTAAATTTAACTGAGATTTTTAATCATGGATTTAATTCAAAGTTGGTGTCAAATGATAGTTTATAAAAATCTAAGATAGGAATGTAAAATCGTTTTTCCTCTAAAATTAACCGTTCAGGTTTTACAGCCTGTCAAAGTTGCAAAAAGTCAATTTTCAACTGTCAATATTTCCAAAACAGTTGAACTTAGGTATAGGGTATATCACACGAAATCTGCTCAGAATTTTACGTAGAATCCAAATATGCAATCACATACGGGGTGTTCCATTTAAAATAGTGATGTTGCCACTAGTTTAAAGTAGAAGCGGCAACACCGCATGGTCAAAAATATTTTTAAAGTCTAGATCATGGTCGTTTATCCCGGTTGACAAATTTTCAAAATGATCCGCTTTTTAGTTCTCCATAAACGTCTAATACGCCATCCACCGTGGGACACCCTATATCATTGTTTTACATTAATGATGTTGTTAAAAATGTAAATTATAAAACCGTCGAAATAAATAAATAAATATGGATGTTATGTGGGTTTGCAAATCACTACAGTATACTCTTTCTAACTAAATGAACTTTATTTAAAACAATAAAAAATCCCTCGAAAAATCCTGACAAAACTAGCACTATTATATCACTAAATAGGCTTAATTGTTCACAAAACTATACTAGGTGAGCGAGTAGGTGAGTAACTGTTCAACGTTCAACTAACTGTATGAATATCAATTCATTCAACTACTGTCTGATTTACAGCTCACTCGCTTTGAACCGTTACCTTTATAGCACTTCCACTGAATGGACCCCACTCAAACCATATGGAAAAGTGACCTATGTGGAAATTAACTGAATTTTTTATATTGCTTAGGGGCTATTGTTTACATGGAAGAACTAGTATAACACGCTAGTCTATTTTATTCGAGATTTTGTCATTTAAAAAAGCCCTGTGAAAAAACAAAACACAAATGAAATATTTGATTGATGACTATTGATTATTGGACTCTATAGCTCAATGGTAACTTTTAATCAGGAAGACTTCCTCTAAACAGTACAAAAAGTTCAGGAAATTACCACTCAGATCACTTTTCCACAAGGTTTGAGCAGGGTTCTTTTCTTTGCAATAGTAGGTACTTGAGGGGTAAGCCACTAGTGGAAATCATTGTACATTTTTTTGGGAATCACATAGTAATCAATCAGGAATACATGGAAATCACTTGTGAGTCCCTAGGAATCGCTAGGAATCGCCTAGGACTCCATGAGAATCTCATAGAAATCTATTGGCAATCACTGACAATCATGTGGTAATGGCTGGGAATATCATATCATTCTAAACCAGAAATCGCATATCAGTCTGATGCTGTTTGTTTTTAGATTAGTTGAGCGTTTACGTTAGTTTTAGTTTTTTGCTTAGTGTAGGATTTGTAGGCTAATAACAAGCACTCTCACATGCCATTACTGCTCCGGCGGTGTTTGTAAGATGTATGTTTTAAATAAAATAAATCATACATTTTGTACAACACAGCGTACCGGTCAGTTGTGTTGTATTTGCCTTTAAGAGTTAGTTTTAGGCAACATTGAGTGCTAGACAGTTTGAAATGTATTTGATATCCCAACAAATTTCCCAATAATTGAGCCAATAACTGAACCCGAGACTACGAAGAGTTTAGAACTTGAAAAAGAACGAGATGAAGATTAGGTGTGTCTCACAGAAATCACAAACCAATCAAAGCGTTTTTGATTGGTGCAAATCACCAACAACCAGTTTTCTGACTATTTTCAACCAATGAAATTCGCTCTGACTGGTTTGTGATTTCTGTGAGAACAGACTTAGCTGACGCATGCACCAATCAAGATTTCTTTAAAGGACCCCACACTCGACCCCACACACCTTTTATGGGTTTTAGGTTTTCTGCCAAACTCAATGAAATTTTGATATGTGGTACGAGTTGTGGTATAACTTGAATTCCTGATAAAAACTTCTCATAGGCCCAACTTGATTTCCATGTATTCATGTATCTGAAACCTCTCTCAAATCTGACTTGCCAAAAGAAGAGACAGAATTTCTTCACACATCAGGGTTTAGCAATTGCGATTCGCTACAACTAGGAGACTATTCAGGGGTCAACTTTAATTTGGTTCTTTTCAGAGAAGCAGGGACGTTTGTCGATCTAGTATTAAGAGCTATAAGAATGTCTCGGAGAATGTCCCTGAGAAAGACACAGAAGAAAAAGTTGGGAATCCAATCAAAGAAATATCCATTATTTTAGATGCATATTATGCGTGTAGACACGCAATGGTATCTACGGGTCATGATGATGATGATGATGAAAAGTACTTTATTGTCCAAGAAATATTACATGTAATAGGTCTTATTGACAAAGCATACTTAAAAACTAAATTAAAGTAAAATAAAAATTAAAAAAAAACAACAATGGCGTACCTGGTTACAAACAAACAGTCAATAAACACTAATCAAATAAAGGGAAAAAAAACTGACAATAAGACAAGCATTTTAAGTACGGTCCATAGAAAGAACAATAAAAAATAATAAAAATAATAATAATCAACAATGTAAAAAATGGTCAGTACAAAATACAACACAATATAAAAACAACAATATATAGCCAGTTGACTATTGAGATTAAATAACACACTAAATTAGGATTGCTCTAAGAACTCGTCAATGGTATAAAATGCCTTTTTCAATAAGTATGCCTTTAGTAGGTTCTGGAAAGCCTTTGATGTTGAAGCATTCCTAATCCGCAAACCATTATTATTGTATATTTTGGGGCCATTGTAGATGAGAGATCTCTTAACCAGGTTCAAGTGAGGTATTGGTAAAGGGATATTATTGTTTTGACGGGTTTGATGTACTTGCTGATGCCTTGGAAGGCTTTGCTTATTTTTATAAATTAAGCATGCTGTTTCCAGGATGAAAAGGGAGGGTAGAGTAAGAATGCCATTTTGGATGAAGAGATGTCTATAGTGTGTTCTTGGATGGGCATTGCATAAATTCCGAACTGCTCGCTTTTGGAGAATAAAGACAGACTGAAAAAGATTTTGTGCACAGGCTCCCCAAAAGGGTAATGCATATCTAATATGTGACTCGACAAGAGCAAAATAAACATTGCGTGCTACTTCTTTACCCAGTTCTTGGAAGGTAGCTCTCACCGAAAAACAGCCAGAGGCCAACTTTTTATTTAGTTTCAGAATGTGAGGATAAAATTTAAGATTTTCATCGATTATGAGCCCCAAAAATTTGGAGTTATCCACAATTGAGATGGAGTTGTCGCCCATGTCAGGGTCCCGAAGAGCACATTTGAAACCAATCAGATGAGTTTTCGACATGTTTAAGCACAGACGATTTGCATCACACCACCGTCTGATCTGCTTAAGATCGGATTCAATGTCCTGTTGCAGTTGATTTAAGTCCCTGTTGCGCCAGAGAACGGTTGTGTCATTAGCAAACAACGTGAACAGCCCAGAGATTTCAAGTTGGGTTAAATCATTTTCATTTATATAGATTAAGAAGAAAACGGGTCCTAGTACAGATCCTTGGGGAACGGTCAAGAACTATTTATACCCACACCAAAATCGGCGTGGGTGTGGACAACCATGAAACTAAAAGTTGCTAACTTTTGGAAGAGTTACAAATACTTACAGAAGTTGCCAATTTTTAAGTGGAAACGTGTTTTTATAAGAGAAAAGACTGTTTATTTTGATCATATCAATGCGAAGTTTAACAATTAGACATCATTTTTGTAATATAATCAGCTGGAAATCGAATGTTTGTAGGAAATCATCGAGGAAATCAGGTATTCAATTGGAAATGATATGGGAATCCCCAGACAAAATGGAAATCACCTGGTGATCATACAAAAATTATCTGAAAATCATTGGCAATCAGTCGCAATTCTTGGGATGGGAATACATGAGATTCATTGATCAGTGATTGCCAAATATGGAAATCATTGCAGATTTGTAAGCATAGTGGTTGACCCCTCATAGGTACCTATAACCAAAGACTGGATAGTGGATTTATAGTAGGTTTAGCCCAAATAAGTATGTACCAATATTTTCACTGCATTTTTGATTTTATAATTAGATACAAAAATTATACCTACCTAATATAAACGTGATAAACTCAAATGAACTAAACAGAAAACCTTGATCTAAGCGGTATGGTATATTCAAAATAAATCCTATAGATACCTTACTGATCAGGTTCAGGTGTACAGAAACACTATTTTAATTCAAATTCACCAAGATGTTTTTCACAAATTTAGTTGAGGTCACAATAATAATTCTTGTGATTGAAACTTTTCTAGAAACTGTAGAAAATACAATATTTATACTATCAGAATTAACCGAAAGGCAACTTAAATGCAATTTAGCATACCATCATAGCATTATAACTGTACTGTAATCTAGTAAGTTTATTTTGTTCTTTTAAAATATGAAGTGGTTTAGCTTAACGATCTTATTTCTCCCAGCTAACAGTTATTAAGGAATGTGTCAGCAATGTACGAAGTATATCAATTATTTAACTTTATTTGAAATACATTGCCTAGAACTATGTAGGTGAAGTCCATTAATGTATTTCCTAGTGCAATTTCAAGAAAATTTCTGGAAATGGAAAAGTTGTATTCCATTTGTTAAATCTAAAGCTTATTAGAAGCTTACCTTGCTAACTGCTACTTTTTAATTCAATATTAACATTATTTTCACATAAAAACTTTATTATTTTATAAACAAATTTTCCTAATAAACTTAAAACTATATATTTTTATTTGGGAATTTGAAGTTTTGCAAAAGTGCGTCTTCTAATGTCACTACTGTCAGGTCGTCACAGAGACGCGATCGAAAACATGGGCGTTGGTCAAGAATCAAGGTTGTTTGAGGTTGCTTGATAACTTTTTGACGTCATCTAAAGTGCCTCATTGGCTCAACATAATGCAAATCTCCATATTAAGGCGCATCAAGGGCCATTCACGTTCGTTTAATGAAATTTCGAGCCCTCTGATACAGCGTTTAACTGCTCTGTGCGTTCGCTGTTCAGGTGATTACGGTTCGGCACGCATCAAAAAAGCTGGCAGCTTGCAACCTTCACTTCGGAGTCGACGTGCATGCCAGCACGGAATTGAATTGAGGATGCCAACGTTAAACAACATTTTCCTAGCTTGCGTGCCGAAGTGCCACTTATTCGCTACTAAATTGATTGAGGATGAGCCTTAAAATATGTGTAAATAAATAAATGATGAAGTCACCCGCAGACCACGATGGAATGCTTGCGATTCAGGCTGTGCTAGTGAGTTAGTTTTTTCGTCGATTTTAAATGTAGAAAAGGTGATTTTCGGTCTGTTTTCACAAAAGAAGTTAAGTGTTTTTGATACTCGAGTATCCCAGAATTTGATGATGGGTGAGTTAGGGGAGTATGACACAATTGACATATCACATAATCTAGCATACTCGAGTATGCTTGGTTATCCTCGCGAAAAATTGCCTAGTGACCCTATAGTCCGTGCGTTCGGTATTTTGATCCGAGTTCTCCGAGCATAAATTTACCGTTCTTTATTTAAAAAGTGTACTCGGTGCAGGCTCATTCACGTTGGTTTATTAAAATTTCTAGCGCTCTGATACAGCATTTAACTGCTCTGTGCGCTCGCTGGTCACGGGATTACGGCTCCGCTCTGCACGGTCTGCTTTTTGAGCAAAATACCGAACGCAAGGAGTGTGTAAAGTGACTTTAGGTACTTTACGTACTAATGCGTGAAGTAAAATTTTACGTCTTTTGGATAGGGCGTAAATTGAGGACGAGTGTTTTTTTTCACGATCTCTGAGTTTTCCGGACATTGTTCCGAATTCCGGCCGGACTTCCCCGGATACCCTAAAAACCCAAACATGTCCGGGTAAATCGGGACGTATGGAAACCCTATTCCGAAATACCTAAAGTGAGACAAACGATAACGCGTGTGGCTTCTTCTCGATTGATTTCTACTCTACCAGCTTAATATCGCTATTGCCAATTACATAGCTAATAAACATCACGTCAAAAGCCAATTGCAACACAAACTGATCAAAATAAATCCGATGATGCCGATGGTGTTTTTTTTTTAAAGATATTCCTCAAGTCAAAAATTTAGTAACTATGTTAGCAAGACAAGCCTTTTCAACATAAAAAATTTGGAAGCTTGACAATTTTACATTGTATTGCCAACATAATGTCATTTTGACTTTTATCTTTAAAAAAAAAAAAACAGACTTTAGGTATTCCGGAATAGGGTTTCCATACGTCCGGATTTACACGGACATGTTTGGGTTTTTAGGGTATCCGGGGAAGTCCGGCCGGAATTCGGAACAATGTCCGGAAAACTCAGAGATCGTGAAAAAAAACACTCGTCCTCAATTTACGCCCTATCCAAAAGACGTAAAATTTTACTTCACGCATTAAGCCTAGTACTCATTATAACTGCGAAATTCGCATTTTTTTGACTTTGCTTCGACAATTTGACGTTTGATACACGCATTAAACGTCAAATTGTCAAAGTAATGTCAAAAAAGTGCGAATTTCGCAGTTATGAGTACTTGGCTTTAGTACGTAAAGTACCTAAAGTCACTTTACACACTATAGGGTCACTAGGCAATTTTTCGCGAGGATAACCAAGCATACTCGAGTATGCTAGATTATGTGATATGTCAATTGTGTCATACTCCCCTAACTCACCCATCATCAAATTCTGGGATACTCGAGAATCAAAAACACTTAACTTCTTTTGTGAAAACAGACCGAAAATCACCTTTTCTACATTAAAAATCGACGAAAAAATTAACGCACTAGCACAGCCTGAATCGCAAGCATTCCATCGTGGTCTGCGGGTGACGTCATCACTAGTGCGTAAAGTATTTGTCTAAATTTATTTTTTTACACATATTTTATTGGTAGTAGAAAACCATAGATTAGACAACTGTTTGTACAGTGCCCGCGGAAAAGTCTGCACCATATGGGAATTTTTTTTTATGCTCATCCTTACTTCAAATCGGTTTTCGGCATTAGGTTCTGCATGACTGAAAACCAAAAAAATACCTAAAACTTTTGACTCGAGTCTTGCCTCAAATGCCATTTGAAAATTTCAAGCAAGGAAAAGTGGCATTTTTATAAAAAATATGAAAAAATTTTATGAGTAGTTTATAAACAAACAATTTGAAATTTAAATTTGAGAAATCTTAAATTTTCAAAATAGTCCAGAGGCGTATCAAAATTTTAATAGAAATATTTCTTTTTGATGTTTAAACTCTTAATTAGACTATTAAGATTTAGAAAACCATTAGTCAGAGTAATCCTAAAAATATTATTTTTCCGTAGATAATCGAAAAAATTTTTTAAAAAAAATCTTTTTTTTTTCAAAGTAAAAATATCAAATTAGACTCAAAATGTCATTTGGAACAATATTTTCTTATAAAATTTTTTCATATTTTTTATAAAAATGCCACTTTTCCTTGTTTGAAATTTTCAAATGGCATTTGACAGGTGTGAGGTAAGTCTCGAGTCAAAAATGTTAGGTGTTTTTTTGGTTTTCAGTCATGCACAACCTAATACCGAAAACTGATTTGAAGTGAGGATGAGCATAAAAAAATTTCCCATATGGTGCAGACTTTTCCGCGGGCACTGTATATTATGCAATACGCGTGTTAATTGAACCTTTTTTCACAAATGTGAATTTTGTCGCACTCGCTTTTCGCTTCACACACTCTCAGCTATTTCGGCGAAGTCCGGATTTTGTCCGAATTTCTTGACTATGTCCTGAATTCCGAAAAACCTTTATGGAAACCCTATTCGGAAACGAAACGCGGGCCACAAAAAAAAATACTTCAGATCAGTGGTCAACGACCAAAAATATACCTTTTACAAATTAATAACGAAATCAGAGAAGATAGACAATAATATAGACCTGATGATGAATATTTCGGAAACGAAACTCGAGCGACAAAAACGGATTTAGGATTTGTGATTAATTAGCGACTAAAAATATACATTTCTACAAAAAATCATCAAATTCGGAGAGGGTAACGGATAATAGATTTACCAAATCCAAGCCATGTAGTGCAAACAGCCTACGTCATGGCGGGAAAGAACATGCTGCCACGTCACAACTAGTGATTTGGCGTGGTGGGTGGCTTCAGATTTGTTCCATACAGGCCTTATGAGGATAGGCTATCCTGTAGTAGTAGTGTGTATTAGCCTTGCCTTGGCCCGGGGTGATCTCCGAATGAATTTTTGAACGCTCACACATGACGTTATCAATTTTACCTTCGCAGTTTTTGAACCCGTTTGGTTTACCCTGAGCTTGCCCTAGGCTACCACAACGGCCCTAGGGCAAGCACTAATTATCGAACGTACCCCAGTTCTGAGTATCGATTTGGTGCAATCGAGGGTGCAATGGTGCCAAGTGTATCACGTTCAGACACTGGGGTGCGTTCGAAATCACCCTGGGCGTCACACCGAGTGCATACCGGCAATGAATTATTCATGGCTGGTTTACAATCGGTGTGACGCCCAGGGTGATTTCGAACGCACTCCTGAAATACAGAAATATTTTCCAAACAGGAGCGATTTCAAATTAATTGGACCAAAAAAAATTAAATTAAATATCGCTGATATAAAGTATATCGCGGAACACTTGAGTTGAGATTCATCTTATCTGAAGTCTGAAGCACAAAAGTCCACTGATCTCAAAAGTCTGAAGATAGAATTTGCAGATTTCTGTAAAAATTCAATGTTGCCTTATTTCGTTGTCAGATGCATGACTCATTTTTCTAGAATTGAGGCATGTCAGTTTTCATGGAATTTTCCGGTGTTTTGAGTTTGAGAAACTGACAAGCAGAGACTGTCATTGGCAGAGAGATTTCAGAATTCAGAAGAAATTAGTTAATTGTTGCAGAAAAACAAGGAATTGCAATTATTGTGAAATCCCTATTTTGTTGATTTTGTAAATTGTTCCTAGTTACCGGTAAGGTACTGATTGCTATTTTAACTAGTTTTTAAATATTCCAGCTTTTTAGGTCATCATGTTTGTTCATTGCAGTGTTTTTCATGTTTGAAGTGTTTACATTTAAATTTCTGATGAAATTCAATAAATAGACCACATTCCATCATTTAGGAAGTTAAATTTAATGGTTTTGCAATTCTATTACTATTTACCAACCACCCACCTAAACAAAAATATGTTTCATGTTTCACATTTTGATACCTACATACTAGAAACGCATATTCAGTTCAATAATAGAGTATCGATCCTTATGAGTATGACAATGTGTTAAAAATAACCATGTATCATTAAATTTCTCTTAAAACATCAATATTTTTCTTATTTGCAGGGAACTGAACAGAACAACGATCCATCAGGATGTCCTACAACTACAATCAAGGTAAAATTTTATCATTGATCTGTTTTCATATAATAACCAGCAATTTAGTTTGTTTAACATGACCTTGAGCCTTGAGTCATTTTTGAAAATGATACCTCTAAAGCACATAATATAATCCATGCATAATATTGGTGGTTTGGGTGTATAAAATACAGAAAAGATAAGAACTTTTAAATTGAAATTTCAATATGTGATTCACAGGATTATTATAGTTAACTTAGGTAGTTTACTCCAAAAAAAATCATGACTCAAATTATCAGCACCAATAACATACATAATTCTAAAACAGTTTCAAGGATTTAATGCTTGTTGGAATAAACTTCCTACACCTCAAAATGTATCATAGTTATTGCCTACATAAGCAGTAGGTAGGTATAAAGCCAGGTATAAAGTAAATCATGTTGGATATTGAAATAAGTCTTATCAGTAGTTATTTACATATTTCTTGATGATTTATCAGGGGAATTTTGCCTTAGGTAAATACCTCGGTAAATACAAAAATAACCTCAGAAACTTTTGTCTAGTTATGAAGTTTAACTGATTTTAAGGAATATTTCAGCTTTAGCTGAAAAACTTGGTTCAAAACAGTAGTTCTGGCAATACATTTTCTGCAAGGCGACGTAGCAGATACAAATTTCTGTTTGGATTCGAGGCTACAGCCTCAATGTCAAATCAAATCAAAAAGAGTATATTGTGTATTTAGGTGGAAAAGTGACACATTCTCGGCCGACGGTGTAAGTTGATGGGCGAGGCATAGCCGAGGCTGGCAAACACCGAAGGCCGAGAATGTGCTTTTCCACCGAAATACACATACTATTTTTTCTGCGATCGTTTAAAAATACCTGTTAAATGTTTGTCTTTCAGTTCCAATTATTCAGCAATACGAGAATCACTTTCCCGGCCTAGGCCGGAAAAGTGTTTCCCGTATTGTTATTCATTGATTCCTTAGCAACTATTGAAATACCAGAATATTGAGTTTTGCGACCTGTCAACCGGTCAAAAATGCTGACATTTCTTGTCAATCGCAGAAAAAAGCTTTATTGCCAAAAAAATTATGTAAATACCATTGACAAAACCAAAACAAAAGTCTAAAATCAATTTCCTATATCCTAAAATGTATACTAAGTTAAAATTAAGATGTCAGTGTTGAGAATATAAGACAAAAAACTAGAAAGACAAGCAATAAAATAACAGTGAAAATTCTATGTACAATCAACAACACCTGAACAGTTTACAATACATAAATAAAAGAATATTATCATGGGCTAGATTTGATAGTGTCTTGATACCTCAGCAAATCCAACACAGAACCGACGAGCCAGCGCGGGATGGTAGCAAAATTTTCAAAAACAATCATCACTATAAATAAAGTCAAACACTACATGAATCAGTTAAAGCCTATTATAAATAAATAATTTAGTAATTGAAAAATTGAAAATATCACAGTTTAAGAATCACAATTTAAAAATCACAGTAAAAGATTAAAATATTAGTCTGAGTAGAATTCCCTAAGACTGTAATAGGCTTTGGTTTCCAGAAATCTCTTTAAAGTTTTTCTAAATCGTCCATAGTCCTCCACACCCTTTATTTCGTCTGGCAACTTGTTGAAGATCTTAATGCTTTCATATACATATAATAGAATAATTCGGAATGTGTAATGGAAAATTTTGATTGCGTAGGTTGGAACCAGTGTCTGTCACTGTATCATTATTTTTAAATTTTTTGAATATAAGACAGAATCGGGGACAGAATGTTTCCAAAACTGTCCAAAAGGAATATGCAGGGAACTGTCAAAATTCTTTTCCGTTTAAAAAGTGGTCTGCAGCTCTGTCCGTATCCTGCATGGCAAATATATTTAACTGCTCTTTTTTGTAGTACAAACACCGATTGAATAGAGTTTTGAGTGGAAAACCCCAAGAATGCTATCCCATAGCGAAGATGCGATTCGATCAGTGCATGATATGTTGTTTTCGTGGTATGCTTATAGTATAACACCCCTGTGAAAGTTTTTTTTTCAATAAATCTATATGTTTGTCGAATCGCAGCTTCGAATCTATGAGCAACCCAAGAAATTTAGTTCCAATGTATATACCCTATTCACATTGTACTTTTGGGTCAATAAGAACCCCAAGCAACCTAGCTTGTGAAACCTGGTCATTTATTCATATTATGTATTCTTTTATATTCTCATCGAGATTCTCATAGAATCATCTTAGAAATCATAATGAACTTGATAATGAATAAATATTACGCTGTCGCCTATTAATAATAATATCAATGGTGTATTGGAATAGAGAACAAACAAATGCCAACTCAAATTTTTGAAATCTGAGCTAGATATATTTAATTGGCCTAAAGCTGATGACATTGCTGAAGTATATGAAGCATATATATATTTCAAGGTCCTATTGAGTTATTAGGTAACAGTCCATTCTTAAAAAAAAATATAAGATTGACTGTCAGATTATGAGACAATACAGTTATAATAATTAGCTCAATAATTAGTTACCTAGGTACTTAGTTTTGCGGTGTTCATTTATAAAATGCTGAATAATCTATCGCCTAAACATTTGCTCAAAAATTGTGCATTTGTCAGAGATATACATGAACATAACACCATAAATAAAAATAACTGTTAAGTATATAAACAAGGTGACATCCAATTCCTGTTCCAAGACTGTCTTTCTAACAATACAAGGGCCTCAAATAATATAATGATTTACCCAACCCTGTTGGAGATTCACCAAACATTACACAATATGAAAATCTTGTAGAAAATATATGAGGTAAACGGCTCTGTGTCATTTGCGCGACAACCGTTTGCGCGAGGGAGAAAAGCGCGATACAAAAAGTGCGACTGACAAAAGCGCGACGGAACAAAAACGCGACAGGACAAAAGCGCGATGGACACAAACGCGACTGGATAAAAACGCGAGGAACAAAAGCGCGAGGGACAAAAGCGCGACGGAACAAAAACGTGAGGGACAGAACCGCGACGGAACAAAAACGCGACTGGAATAAAGCGCGATGGACAAAAACGCGATTGGATAAAAACGCGAGGAACAAAAGCGTGAGGGACAGAAGCGCGACGGAACAAAAACGCGAAGAGCAAAAGCGCGACGGAACAAAAACGCGACTGTATAGAAACGCGAGAAATAAAAGCGCGAGGGACAAAAGCACGATGGAACAAAAACGCGAGGGACAAAAACGTTGTTGAAATGGCTGTCAACAAATAAAGGGCCCCAGCGAGGAGTTCAAAATATAAGCAAGTTAATTCTCGATTGTTAAACTTAGTCCAAGAATACCCTTTCTCCAACGTCCAAAATCACCTTAGAGCAGTAGCTTTGAACTTAACCATTTAAACTTAGCATTCCATAATTTGTATTTTTAACTAATTTATATTGTTTCTTTTGTTAATAAAGTTTATCATGCTGTCCTACTTAGAACTATAGAATAAGTGATGAACAAATTGAATCAATTAAGAATCAATCAAGAAAACGCAGACTTACTTAATCTTACCCAAACTAACCCGTCCGTCTAGTGCGATCTTGTCCTCGTAAGTTAGTATTTTATTCCAAACTTACTCAAATTAACCCAAACTAACCCGTCCGCCTAGTGCGATCTAGTCCTCGTAAGTTAGCATTTAATTGCAGACTTACTCAATCTAACCCAAATTAACTCATCCGCCTAGTGCGATCTAGTCCTCGTAAGTTCGCATTTTATTGCAGACTTACTTAATCTAACCCAAACTAACCCGTCCGCCTAGTGCGATCTAGTCCTCGTAAGTTAGCATTTTATTGCAAACTTACTCAAACTAACCCAAACTAACCTGTACGCCTAGTGCGATCTATTCCTCGTAAGTTAGCATTTTATTGCAGACTTACTCAAACTAACCCGTCCGCCTAGTGCGATCTAGTCCTCGTAAGTTAGCATTTTATTTAAAAAAACTGTCAATCTTGTTTTTCAAATAAAATGCTAGCTTATGAGGACAAGATCGCACTAGGGGACCGGGTTAGTTTGGGTTAGTTTGAGTAGTCTGCATTTTTTTCATTATTATTAATACAATTTGTTGTGTCCCTGTTTTGCTTAGAGGTCGCCGTTGTTGATGTCGCTGTTTTAAATTTCGTTCTTTACATATGTCGCTCTTCTGTAATGTCGCTGTTTCAAGTAGGTATCGCGCTTTCGAATGTCGCTTTTTTGATATGTCGCTACTTTTTTCACATGTCGCTGTTTTGAATGTCGCTATTTTAATAAGTCGCTGTTTTGAATATCGCTATTTTGATGTATCGCTTTAAAAATATGTCGCCTTTTTAATGTGACTATTTCAAATATCGCTCTCTTGAACCGGAGCCACTGAGAATGTCTTAATGTCTTGTATTTTGGAAAGCGTTCTATATTCCTCGTAGATAGTTGAGCGTTCTCATCCAATCGCGCTATATTCCAGTCGTGTTTTTGTTCCTCGCGCTTTTGTCCCACGCGCTTTTATCCAGTCGCATTTTTGTCCATCGCTCTTCATTCTAGTCGCGTTTTTGTTCTGTCGCGCTTTTGTCCCTCGCGTTTTTGTTCCGTCGCGCTTTTGTCTCTCGAGTTTTTGTCCCTCGCACTGTTGTTAAGTCGCGTTTTTGTTCCACGCGCTTCTGTTCAGTCGCGTTTTTGTTCCGTCGCGCTTTTGTCCCTCGAGTTTTTGTCTCTCGCTCTTCTGTTCAGTCGCGTTCTTGTTCTGTCGCGCTTTTGTACCTCGCGTTTTTGTCCCTCGCGCTTTTATCCAGTCGCGTTTTTGTTCCGTCGTGGTTTTGTCCCTCGCGCTTTTCGTATCGCGCTTTTCTCCCTCGCGCAAACGTCTGTCGCGCAAATGACACGGAGCCGAGGTAAACTGTTGAAATATAAATTTGTAAAATTTCATTACTTTGCTATTTCATCTAAATTTAGTTGTAACCAGTATTTACTTTAAACAACAAACTTTTTCCTTTAAGGGCCACAAGGTTATGGTGCTCCACCACCAGGAGCCTACCCACCGCCACCTCAAAGTGGATACCCTGGTGGGTATCCGCCTCCAGGCGGTTATCCACCACAAGGGGGCTACCCACCACAGAGCGGATACCCTTCAGCCCCTGCGCCAGGCTTCAACGCGCCACCCTACAGCGATCCGTACGCGGGGGCCAACCAAGGTGAAGCATTACCCTTCAATTCTAGCACACATGGTTGGTTTTTTGAATGTTTTTGGTAGTGTTAAGCATGCTTGGGGATTTGTTTTGCCCCTCTACACAAGTCATTATCATAATCATCATTGCATTTTTGTCTGAGCGGAAGCAAAATTATCATTCTTGCACTGAATTGTAGTTGTCCAAATTCAAATTACAGAAAAAACCAACCACTTAAGTGTTCAATATTTTTTGTAAACATGAATGTTATATTATTATTTTTTTTTTCTACTTGACTAATTTTCTAAAACAGCACTTAACATTTCTGTCTATATTCAGTTACAAAGTATTTCGCAACCTCAGAATATGTTCAAGAATGGTGTTTTTTTGCTTAGAATATAACCATTTTTAAACAGTTTTTGGCAAGGTTGAAATTAATCTTCTACGCTCATACTTTATTCGCAATAAGTATAATTTTTTTTTTCTGATGCTTTATTATTGCTTCTTCATGCTTGCTGCGCTTATCAATGTCTTTATTGTTTGTTTAATTCTCTAAAATAAAATAGAAATGTGTTCAATTATTCGGTGGAGGTCAAATTTTATAGGATTTAAAACTTCAAGTGTAGGTATATTAATCAATATACTGAACCAACTAATTTGGTATTTTTCAGAAAAATACTTACTGGACATTTGTTTTTTAACTATAGATAATAAACTTTTAATTCCAATTAAAAATTTAATCAGCTAACACAATAAGTAATTATACTTTCGCCAAGTGAATCATTCGATTTCTTGGAAATCCACCTACTGATAAAATAAATTGCTTTTTAGTTTATAAGTGTTGAGCTACAGACTAAGTGTTTTTTTCCAGAATGCTTTTATCTTCAATAATTTTTGTCATTGGCTTTTATTGATATTTTGTATAAGTGTGATGTAAACAAATAATCATTTTTTCCTTTATTTTGCTTATTCAAAGATGTATTTTTCAATATTGCATGCATATCAGCTACCCTTGTGAAGTTACCAGCCAAAATTACCAAAGGCAAAAAGATACCAAATTTAAAGGCTAGTTAAACTTCAGACTTGATCTTGTGTTAATTCAGGCCAAGGAGTAAACCACCCCCCCAAATTTCTGCAAAAAATTCCTCAAACTACCTGCAAATTCCTCCAAACTCCCTGCAAATTCCTCCAAACTGCTCGCGAATTCCCTGCAAATGTCTGTTATAAATTCCATAAAAATCCCCAAAATTGTTCGTGATAAGTAATAAGAAATGTATTTTCCGATTTTTATTACGCTCAGTTTTAAAACCAATAAATTTTCCCAATTTCTTATACATTCCTTCAATTAACCATAAATTCCTTCACATTCCCTACATATTCCTCAAAATTCACAACAAATTCCTACTAATTTCCCACAATTTTGGCAAAGTATTCCTAGGTTGTTTCCTCCTTAAAGGTGAATGATCAGAAGGAAATTTTTATTTTTTCTTAAATTTCAATCTTTTCTTTCTTCGAAACTTGCAAAATTTCAATCCAATCCTTCAAAAGCAATTTCAAAATAGAGTTACACCCTCAAACTTTGTAAACATGTTATATTGAGGCTCAATCGAAGCGACAACTATTGAATTTTTGTTATGATTCCTATGGTTTAAGTCTGAAAGTCAATCTTATACATATTCTCCTTAATGTTATTAGTGTACTAAGTACCTAATGGCCGTTTGCACCGACCATTTTAAGGAAGCCTTAGCAATAGGTATCCCTTAAAATGACATTTTTACATGGAGAAATGTCACTTTAAGGAATACTTATCGCTAAGGCTTCCTTAATATGGCCGGTGCAAACAGCCATTAGTATCTTTATTTTTGACAGATTGTGAAGTTTTTCTGATTGTTATAGAATAATTGCTTTTTTACTATGTGGGAGAAGCCAAACGAATCTTAACCAGTCGGTTATTTGTTGAAACTTTGAGATCAGTTGTGGTTTTAAGTAGGTACCTACATATAGGCATTTTGAATTTTGACAAAAGCTTCAGAAAAAATCACATCTTTGCTGACACAGGGGTATAGGCACCAGTCCCACAAAGGAACACACAAAACTGAACTTTTCTTTATTAGGTCGTGAGTACGATAGAACTTGAATTAGTTACATAGATAAATTGAATCAGATCAGGCAATTACAAAATAGAGAAACATGTTTATAAAGGAAACTTTATTATAACAATAATGATAATAATGATAATTACACAACCCAAGCAGCACTCCCATGTTGGGCCAATATTGGGACAATAACTACAATTTATTGGCCCAAGTCAGATTCTCTATGTTGGCCCAATAAAAGATGTGGACATTCTGCAATATTTGTTCAAGAACGTATGTCAATATATACCCAAAAACAAATACCAACGTTGGTACAATAACGTAACCAAATGTTGATCCAAAAAGAAATAATCAATATCATATCAAGAACTTTATGCAATAAAGAGCCAAATGAAATTACCAATATTGGCCCGAAGACGAATGTAAATCTTGGCTTTATATTATATTTAATTAAGGTAACGGACCAATTATAAGGACCGACTAAGAAGTGTTTTCTCTCTGCCGGACCCCGGACCATCCGTGGACCCGTTTCGCTGTGTCACAACTCATCAGCACGGTTAAGTCCCGCCAGGGTCCCGCAGAGAGAAAACAACCAATTTTTGGCTTCATCCCGGAACCAGGTTTAAGACAGGTAAAGTGAAGACAGAGTCCCCATCTATTTTTTGGTCGGCACACCAAGTGCGCACATTGAATACCCTATATTGGACCAATATTTTCAATTCAGAAAATCTAACCTTGGTAAAAATTAGTATGCAAATATTGGCCCTTCATTGGGCTTTTCAAATATTGTGAAAAAATTGAAAATAAATATTGGGTGTACAAAGTTTTTGAAGTGAATTTAAATATCAATAAATAATTGAATGCCAATATTGAATTAATATTATATTACAATATTGTTTCGATAATATAAAATGTAATATTTGGCCAATATTTCATAAATCAATATTGTAGTGAGAAGTCTTGGTCCAATATTCAAATTACTGAAAAGTTAATTAATCTATGAAAACAATATTGGTACAAGATTATTTTTAAATATTGTTTCTACATAGTTAAAACTAACATTGCCCCAATATTAGTACTGTGTTGATTTAGCAACAAAAATGAATAAATATTGGCCCAACTGAAAAACGATGTTTACCCCATATTATGTGCTACTTGGGAATAGAGAAAACAGGAACGGCGAACCTTAAGGACACCTATATACCCTGTGGAAACAGGGAAACCCAAACCCACACATGCCCTAACAGCTAACACCTTGGCACCACAGAGGCGATTCATCCTTAACAACAAGAAGCTGTCACAAACCGAATTAGATGAAGTCATGTGCAGAACGAAGAATCTCTTGAGAAATGAAAGAGGGGAACAAGATAATTCGAGCAAAGAAAGTGAGGCCGAAGAAGAGCTTAACACGAACAAAGTTAACAACAATGAGAAAGCTCACGACACCGACATCATAAATAAAGAAAGCCCGCTAATACTCTATCATCAAGACGACCTGGAAACTAAGGTAAACAGAAAAATACAAGATGATGAGAACACACCAGAACACAAGCCAGAACATATGCAAAAACAACTACTCGGAAAACTCAATGACAACCCTCACCTGAGAGATCAAATACGACTAACAAAGGTATAATAGAAATCATTTCAAAGCAACCTGAAGTATACCAGAGAATCGCAAACTCATCTATGCGACTGCGGAATCAATACAAGAGAAGATAACACCTCCAGTGAAATCAACCACTTCGAAAGAAAAGCCATGGTCTAAAGATCAACCCCGGAAAAAGAGAATACAATCACAAATAACAGAGATGAGATGGGACCTCTCACACCTCAAACAGTCTCAACAACCAAACCTTAAAGACAAGATGATGCAACGGAAGGAAGATCTGTACGAAAAGTATGAAATAAAGGGCCTAAAAGAACAGACAAAAATGGTCGAACAACTAAAACAAAAATTGGCAGGCAAAACGATACACAGAAAGAAGCGCGCCATACCAACAAAACAAAATGTTCGCGGAAAACACCAGCTGATTCTACAACAGCATATAATTTTTTTTTCTGGAAAACTGTTAGAGATAAACCTATCGAACTTTATATCATTGAAATCAGCAAAAACAGAGCTATCCAATGAGCTATTAATATAAAGGATGTTTCATTTGAAAATATCGGAATTTGGTCAATATCTCGGAATCGGAGCGATATAGAAAAAAACCGAGTCCGCCACTGGATTGTGCTCAAAAAAGTGTCTCCATAATGTTTTTACAGAAATAAAAAAAATTGATGAATAAAAAACTTATAGCCATTTTTCATAATAGGGGAAAATCGAAAATCCCTGTATTAATGGTACCATTGAAGATATCGCGATACGGTTTTTGACAATCGACGTTTCTCGAAAATCGATCCCATGACATCTTTGTCAATTTTCCTCTATCTGGTCGGGAAGTGTGTTTTTCCTGTTAAAACACTCCAAATTGCAGCACCCTGTACAGGGTGTCCAAGATTCGATGGTTTTAGCCTAAAACCATCGAATCTTGGACCTACCCTAAAACTTTTAGGGTACCACTTGCGAGCCTCGATTTTCAAGAGAAGTTGACCGGTGAAACCCGCATTTCGATGTCTCGATTCGTTCTTGAGCTACAAGGGGAAAATTTGACCAAATTTTCATAAATAAAAAAGTCATAGCCCCCCTGCCAAACTCCAAACTTTTCAAAAACCCCTCCTGGCATAAAAACGACTTGACATATCGAGATGCGGTTTTCACCAGTCAATTTCTCTTGGAAATCGAGGCTCGCAAGTGGGGGTCAGATTTTTTCCAACTCCTTTAGAAATATCCGAAACCTCCCAAAATCATCGAATCTTGGACACCCTGTACATACCTAGAAAAGAAGGGGGCAGAGGTATTATTAGTATTGAAACAACCTACAACATTGATAAGGAGGGAATCAGCGGGTACCTGGAGTTAAAATAACATGAGAAATATCTGGGAATGGTGTACAGACAACAACAAGGTGCCCCCTAAATAATACAATAGCAGAAACGAAGAAGATGAAGAAGAAAGAGGACTACCACAGCACAACAACCGCGGCAAACCTGAAACAACAAAAGTAAGAGAAATCAAACAGAATTTAAAACAACAGATGAAGGCAAAAGGAATAATGAAATGGAAAGCTGAGCCACTGCATGGACAAATAGCAAAAGAGGCCGTCAAAGAAACCATCAACCAGAATAACTCATGGGCGTAGCTCTCCCATGCAATAAAGACTGAGAAGGAAGCGCTGATAACTGCCTGCCAAGACCGAGGCCAAGACCAAGCCATCGCAACAAATTACATCGAAACGGAAATCATGAAAACCGACACAGACCCAAAATACAGACTGTGCCGTTCTTTCAGTGAAACCATCCAACATATTGTTGCGGGCTGTCCTATTCTAGCAAAACATGCGTATCTGGAGCGACACAATAGCCAAGCAGCTCCACTGGAACAACTGCAAACACTTAAAGATAGAGGTAAACGAGGAATTTTACCAGCACACCCCGGACCCTGTAGTAGAAACAGAAAATGTAACAATCATATGGGACACACTTGCACACTGACAGGTAAATAATTGCAGACAGGCTAGACCTAAAGAAAAAAAGCACTGCCTAATAATAGACTTGGCCATCCCTTCTGACTGTAACCTAATACAGAATATGAGAAGATGCTTAAATATAAAGACCTGCAGATTGAAGTACAGCGAATGTGAAACCAGAAGGCCAAGGCAATCCCTATCATCATTGGAGCCACAGGATCATCTCCAATGCCACATGCCACCATCAAAGAAGTTCCAGGAAAACACAATCTCCTGCGAATGGAAAAAGTGGTGGTCCTGAGTACTGCCCATATAATACGAAAAGTATTTTAGAACCCATCCCAGTCATCTGCTACCAAACAACGCCACAACAACAAAGAAAACCTTAGAAGAAACTAAGTGGAAGAAAGAAATAATAATAATGTGGCACCTCTAAACAAAAATAATACCAATAATAATAGGAGCTACACTTGAGCTACAGGACTCTTATCCACTGCTACCTGTGATGCAATAAAAAAAAGTGCGCGGAAAGCATAACCTACTACTAATGCAAAGATTAGTAGTGTTGAGTACAACGCATATATTACGAAAAGTTCTATGATTTTTTTCTAGCGGTCACCTGAAAATGGAAACACCTTAGGTGCACCGTGGGCACCCGGAGTTTCTTGAGACAATTTAACCATAGCCAAAGAATTGCTATGTGATACTATGGAATAAATAGTAATCATAATAAAAAACGTCTCAAACAACAAGTTTGAGGCTCTAATTCAATAATTGTGAAATCGCAGTTTACATAATTTTTCTTTTACCATCATCAGCTTGTGCTGTAAGTCATTCTTCTCTTGATGGGAACGTATTTTTGGCTTGAATGACACAAAGTGAAATTAATTTCAAAATTGCCTTTTTAACTTCACACAGGTGGATCAGCTTGTAAAAAAAATGCTTGTTTCTGATGACTGTAACCTTAAGGCTCCGAATGTGCATTTGAAATTTATTCCAACGGTTGTCGTATTTTAAGGCTCCCACTACCCCGATTCAAACAAATTATCTAGCATTATTCTTTAGGAAAAAAATCACTTAGTATGTAGCAATTATACTGATCAATTCTCCACTCCAAATTCAATACGATGCTCTCTTCTCTTCCAGGATATGGAGGCTACAACGCCGATCCAGAAGACCCCGAAGTAAAAGGCTTCGATTTCTCAGACCAATCCATCCGCAAAGGATTCATCCGTAAAGTATACTCGATTTTGATGGTACAACTAGCCATCACCATGGGTTTCATCGGGCTCTTGTGCTACGAACCAACCACCAGAGAATTCGTCCGTCGAACTCCGAGCTTATTCATTGTGGCTCTGATCGTTATGATTGTGGCCATGATTACTTTGGCTTGCTGCGGCGAAGTCAGACGCAAGGCCCCTATGAATTACATCGTGCTGTTTATTTTCACTATTGCAGAAGGCTTTTTGTTGGGAGTGAGTGCTGGAAGCTACAAGCAAGATGCTGTAATATTAGCTGTCGGGATAACGGCCGTAGTTTGTTTGGCTTTGACCATATTCGCCTTTCAAACTAAGTACGATTTTACCATGATGGGTGGCGTTTTGTTGGTGGCCGTTATTATTCTTTTGGTATTTGGTATCGTTGCCATGTTTTGGCATAATAAAATTGTCCAGTTGGTTTATGCTTCGCTTGGAGCATTGATTTTCTCGATCTATTTGGTATACGATACCCAATTGATGATGGGCGGTAAACATAAATACAGCATTTCGCCTGAGGAATATGTTTTTGCCGCTTTGAATTTGTATCTGGATATTATCAATATCTTTATGTATATTTTGGCTATTATTGGAAGTGCTCGCGATTAAGAAGTTTCTTGTTTTTATTTAATATTTTAGAGTAGGTTATAGAGAATATGTATTTTTTTTTGTGATGGCCAGACTGTCGCACCTGATAATACAGAGCAATTTGAGAGATGTCAGTTTGGATTTTGTAAATTTATTCTTTCTTTTCAGTATTTCGGGTGCGGAATACAATATTTCTTTGATGAAAGGGACTTATCTTGTGTTTTTTTTTTATTTAAGAAATTATGCTTACAGGTATTTAATTTTTTTCATTAGGTTACATTGTTATTAATCTAGTTTGTAAAATAAAGTTTTTTTTTTTGAATTTTTTATTTTTATTTGCTTTAGTTGCCATCTTATCGATAAAAGATCAGCCTTGAATGTGCTTTTTTTCAATGTTGCCGTTATTAATCTGTGGTTTCACGTCCTAAATCCTTTCTTTCTAGGTATAGGCTGGCAATCGGAATTTGGAACCAAAGACTTCTCTAATGATTATTACCGTCAATGGTTCACCCGTCGAATTTACATAATTTTAGCATTGCAGTTATTATTTATCATAGTTTTTGTTTGGCTCATCAACTATCAAGTAGATTTAAATGTGAAACAGTTTTTTAGAGCCACTCCCATTTTATTTCATATAGGTTTGTGTGCATTTATTATTATAGGCGTTATTTTAGCATTTTTGAGAGAATTTAGGCGCAAAATTCCAATAAACTATTTGAGTTTAATCATATTTACTATAATTGAAACAATATTTTTGGGTTTAGCTTGCATAAATTTTAAGCCAGAATATGTGCTATTATTCATTGGTAATACTGCATTGGTTACTTTAACAATGGCACTGACTTCTTTCGGAATTAGTTTTGATAAAACTTCAGGAGTTATATTGGCAACTGTTTATGTTATGGCTTTTTGTACACTTCCATTCGCCTTTCTGGAAACTTTTCGTATGGTTGGTATTATTTATTGCTCGTTGGCAGTTCTGATGTTTTCGGTTCATGTAATTTTCGATATTCAATTGATGATGGAGGACAGTACTTATACGATATTTCCAGAGGAATATGTATTTGCCACTCTGAATTTGTATACGGATATATTCTATATTCCTTTGTATGTTTTTAAGTGCATTAGGCTTTTACTGAAAAGGAACTTGTAAGTAATACTTTAATAGGGAGTCTACTGGTCAAGATTCTTTATCATTTGTTTTGTAAGCAGCCGAAAAGATTAAAATAATGGTTGAGATAAGTGTTACTAGCAGATAGCAGAATAATTCTAAGAATTTAGGCTTTATAAACTTGCTGCTTTTGCTTTTTGCTAGAAAACTATATATAGCTTATCTGCTAGCCACACCCCTACCTTCCTTATGCTAGAACTGCTGTTTATTAAGCTAAGACCACACAAGGAAATGTTAAGATTCAAAGACCGGAAGAGAAATGATTAGATCAGTGATGAAATCAAAGTTAAAGACAAATAGGTATTTGACTTGAGTCTCTGAACTTTGAAAATCCATATTATCTAGATCTGAGAACGAATTTTGTTCAAAATTAAATAGAATTTAAAAAAACGTAGAAGGATGATTAAAAAGACTAGAAAAAAAACATAGTAGTGGGTTTACAGAATAAAGGAGAATGATATTTTGTTAAAAGCAAAATGAATATGACTTGAGCAACTTCGTTAGGTATTCAATTAATAGACTTTGCGAGTTTGAACATCCACATTTTCTAGATCAAAGAACCAATCTTGTTCAAAATGAAAGATAAAATTGGTAAAACGTAGCAGGAAGATGAAGACTAGAAAAAGAAAACATGGAAGTTTCAGGATTGAGAATATAAGGGAAGTGAATCATTACATTTTATACTGACAAACATCATTACTAACAGCTTTGAGTGGCAAGTTTCTTGTTTCTACCAAAATTGAAATACGTTTTTTTTTTTTTTTCTAGATTATGGATGGCAGCCAAATCTAAGACCTATCATCTTCACTGATTCTGAACGACTTCACTTTGTCGGTCGATTTTATATTACGTTATTCGTTCAGGCCCTCCTTACAATGCCTTTTATAGAACTTTTTGCGTATGAGCCCCACATAAAGTCATTTTTCCACCACGAAATCCTTTGGGTTGTCTTTAGTGCTGTTATTTTCATTATTATCATGATTATTCTGGCTTTTTATAGTGGTCCTAGACGCAAGCCTATGATGAACTATGGTGCCTTAGCTATTTTTACTATTCAGGAAGGTGTGTTTTTAGGTATTATTACAGCTTCTTTTGATTTTCATGCTAGTTGGCTGATAGTAGGAGCAGTAGCTGCTTTAGGTCTTGGAATGGCCTTTCAAACAAGAATTATGTTTAGCAACGGCATTAGAGATTTAATTGCCAGTCTAGTAGTGACAGTAATTATTGTGTTTATATTTTTGATTATAGTATCCGCATTAATTAACTATGGCCAAGTGGTACATTTAAGTATTGTATTTCCATTAGTTTTGCTTTTATTATGGTACATACTTTTTTATGTTAAGTTGGTTATTGAATGCAATCATTTTTATCCAGTGGCTCCAGATGAATATGTGTTTGCTGCTCTAAATGTCTATATAGATGTATTTCATATCCCTATGCAATTATAGTAATGTGTTAAAAATTGAAACTTTGTTCGGGAGACAATTTGTGATTTTTAATGGCATCTTTTTTTTGCGATGACACTCTTTCTACCTCGTATTGTTTTGGACTTCAATAAATAAGTTTATTTAGGTAAATACTCTGCTGGCAAAATTGATAATTATGTTAGTATTTCTTTTATATTATTTTTGTATTACCTATCTAATTTCATTCCAAACAATAATATTTTAAATACTATACAACTATATATAATAAGGATTATTAACGAACAAAAAGCATTAATATAATAAGTATATACAATGATATTGCTGTTGGGCAATAAGTTTTCTATTCGATAATTAATTAAGATTATTAACTGTGACATATAGAAAACTAATATACAATTTCAATACAAATATTGCAGCTGAATTTTTCATTTATGAATAAAAAAAAGTTCAATATGTCACATATTGTCCGTCGTTTTTAATCTGACACTTTCCGTATGAGGAGCGAGGGGGTGAAGCATATGGCAAAAACAGGTGTGACGTCAGGGCTGGGACTCTGTAACGGATAGGGATCGCTATCCCTATCGCTATGGCACTTGCCGTCTTCTTTTCTTTTTTCGAAATCAATAGAGAGGGGACATCAGAAAAGACAGAGAAAATATTTCTATTCGTTACAGAGTTGCAGCCCAGGTGACCATTGGCGTTCTATTGTAGGAAGCCACCCAGCTCACATTCCTTTGGAGTATCAGATTAAAATCGACGGATTTTAATATTTGTCCTACATGATCTGCTTTAGATATTTGTTATAGCTACTCTTTGGCTAGTTATAAGGTTAATGAAAGTTGTAAAAAAAATGGAATAATATATGTTTATTAAAATAAAAAAAATTGTGTTTCGTTTGGCCAGACGCTCACTGATATTCTTTTAGCAGTTGTTAATAAATGAACTTTGCCAAGGTTGAAATATAAAGGCTTATTTGACCACCGGAGTGGACAAACATATTGTCAACTAGCTGCTTAGGAAAGGAGCACCCGGTATTCAACCTTATTAATTTATTTGCCGATTCGGTTGGATGTTTATTGCAATTCAGCAATAAACGGATATAAATAATTGCACTGCCAGCCGCAGCAAAGGCAGACTTAAACCAGTGCAACTACCTCTCGTTGGGAAAGCCCCTCTGGAATTAAGTCTCCCCCAGTGCAATTACCTCTCGTTGGGAAAGCCCCTCTGGGGCCTTATTCTGTAAAGAACGAACCGTTCGATTCGGTAGAATTTCTTCGATTGTGACGTCATTTTCGGCATTTTCGGAATAGCTTCCGCGCTAGCAAACCGAAAATGACGTCACAATCGAAGAAATTCTACCGAATCGAACGGTTTGTTCTTTACAGAATAAGGCCCCTGGACAAGGCATAAGGGTGACGATAACTAATCGACACTCCCCCAAGCAGCGTTGAAGTGTGACTCTCTATAAAGACCCCATCAGTGTTCGAATGGTCATGCATCCTATAGGACTAGCGTACATGTAAGGGCATATTTGGAAAATTATGCATCTACACTTTTATATAGCTTGAGCGAGTTTCTCTCCATCGACCCCCAAAGCTACAAACCCCCCCATGTCACCCCCGTAAAGCGGGCAGTTGTGAGATATTTGGTGGAGGTGCCGTCTCGAAACCGACGCCGTAAGGCGCCTTTGTGCAAGCCAACGCCTTAACACGTCACGACGCGGTACGTACGTCGACAACAGAGAAATTCCCGACACCGTGGCGAAGGTGAAGGATAGAAGAGTAGATTCAAAAACTAGTGCCAATTGAAGAATAAATTGTAACCGTCGCCATCGTGGCAACAATAGATGCCAGACAAACCCAAATACAATTTGAGGCCAAAGAACGCAGCAGCAATGACACCAGTAGAATTATTTAGACCACCCCATAGGAGCACGCAGAATCAGAAAACGCGCTCTTTCTGCCGAGAAGATCACTGCAAAGATCACCACCAGAGTCGCCCAGTATCAGTTTAGAGCAGATTACCGGTGAGATAGAAAACCAAGCAAATCATCAAACAGGATACGAAGAAGACAGCGTTTTTGGTAGCTCACCAGACCTTACCCTTCAAGAAGCACCAAAACCCAGGCAACCATCAAAATTGAAAGCAGAACAACCGAATATAATGGCGAACACCACAATAATTGAGGCTATGACAGCGGAGAAACAGGCAAAGCTGCCTCAGTGTATCAGCCCTCAAACCTTCCAACCGTGTAAAACCAGCGCGATCGAGTTCCCAAGAACATATAACAGATCAGCGATAGCAAATGGATGGGACGAAAAACTGAAAATTGTTTATTTTCAAACATATTTAGACGGAGCCGCAAACCTCTGGTTTCAGGAATATAAGCGCGACCACCAAAACAACAGCTGGAAAGACATTATCAAAGATATTTCAGAGGAATTTGAGGATACAGATTACCAAAGGGCACTCAAGAAAAAAGTCGAAAATAGAAAACAAGGTCAAGATGAGTCAGTCAAGGAATACTTGTACGATTTACAAGTATTATACCACAATTACACACATACATTTGATATACAAGAATTTGTAAGGATTTTTAGCGAAGGGTTGACTGAGACAAATCATAACAACTAAGTACTACTGGTTAACAAACCCGCCGAACAAAGCCACCAAAATCACTTATACAATTAAAAGAAATAGCAGACACGATAAACAAAGCTCCGAAAAAAGGTGCAACGCAAGATACCCAAATTACCAGCGGTACGGAAAGAAATACAATCACAGACACAGAACTAAAGATATGTCATTATTGTGGAAAAAGAGGACATGTAATGGCCACCTGCAGGATCCGAATGCAAGGAGAACACACAAGCACAAGAGTACCAATATCTAGCCAAACGTGTTATAATTGTGGGAAAACAGAACATTTCGCAGCTGTATGTAGGAGTCAAAAGATGAGAAATCAACTCCAACTCAAAAATTGCCACCGTATGTTACAACTGTGGAAAAACAGGACATACTGCAACAGTACCTATGCAGAAGCCAGCCTCAAAAGAACAAATCGTATGCGCCACGAAACAACAAAAACAATCCTGGTTGCTTTGTTTGTGGAAAACAGGGTCACTATGCAAACACCTGTACAACCCGACGACAAAACCCAAACGAGAAGGGATGGCAAAATTAAAAGCCCCTGCCATCTTTACCCTGGGGAAGAACAATAACATAGGAATCTTGCACATCACAATTAGATTAAATAATAAGTACATGTGGATCGTGGATATAGGAGCACAAGATAGCGTTCTACAAAGAAGTCTAATCAAAGAGGAACTGACAAGAAATGATGACACGGTTCTAGGCACTGCAGGAAGACACCAAATAAAAGTTTTGGGAGATATTGAAGTTCCGATAGAAATACCAGGGAGTCAAACATGGAAGGGCAGACTAAACGCCAACGTGATTTCATCATTAACTCAACCAATACTCCTAGGCATGGAGTTTTTGACAAAAAATAACGCGATCATAGATCTCCCACAGAAAAAAACTGATTCTGAATGGTCAGCATGAAATAGGTACCCCTAAGACAAATGAATAACGAAAAAATCAACATGTCAGGTCTGGTCACAACAAAACAGCCGACTAAAACGAGAGAGCTTAGACTAGATACTTCAAGAGATGAACAAGAGTTTAACAAGTTTGTAATGCCGGTTTTGCACTAAACGGACTGTTGAGTTTGTGCTGTAAAACATGTTTTAAAACAAAAACAAAACTAAAATAAACACAAAACTCTTGTTTCCATTAAGCGGACTACGTTATGTTTTCTCGGCGAAACAAAACTCCAACTGTCTCAAAACACGCTAGTCTTGAAAATGTTTGGGAAAAGTTTGGGTTGTGTTTTTGTTTTGTCTGTTTGGTGGAAAACCGGCATAAGAGAGTACATTCACATAAAAGATGACCAGGTTAACGGTATAGTACCTACTGAAAGAAGAATTTGGAAGCATAGACGTCCTAACGAACGACGCCGTTTTAGTAGTAGGAGTAAACCCAAAACTACAAATCAAAAAAATCAGTTTTCTGAAAATATAGGCATATGATTCCAAAAAACAGAGAGAAAGGGACTATTGGGGAGCTATCTATGTCAAAACAAGGAAAAAAATCAGTCATGTTTCTATTCACAAGAGAATCAATGAAGGAGAAGCCAAGGTCAAGAAACATGTATAAATGTCTTACAGCACCGAGGAACAATATCTCAAAAAATAATTCCATCAAAAAATTAGTCATCCCAAGACAGGGATGGGGATTAGAAAAAGAATGGGCAAGATTTAAAAGATGATATATTTTCTATTTGAAGATGCAGGGGTCCAAATTCACATTTATAGGGAAAAACCTGGGTATAAAGCTAAAGAAGAAAAGCAGGAAGAAGAAATCAGGCATCTGATGCAAATCGGTACAGAAACTAAGAAAAAGGCAAATAATCTTGAACTAAAAACGCACATTCACACCAATGAAGGTAGCCTCATTTTAAAAGTACAATCAAACACAAGGAACCCAGTAGCTATATACGCCGGAACCACAATGTCATTTTTGGCAGAAATAGCATCAGAGACAAATCTTTCACACAATTTCATGTTCCAAGCAGAAAAAGATGAAGAGAGCGAAGAAATAACAATGGAAGATCATAAGTTAGACAGCATTACAAACGAGAAGAACAGGCATGAACTAAAAGAACTCCTTCTGGAATACAACGACGTTTTCGCGAAATCTAGAAAACATATGGGAAAGACACACTTGACAGAACACATTATAGACGTCGGAGAGGCTCGCCCAATAAAGAGCCGCCCATACAGAGTGTTACAAAAAGAAAGACAAATTATTGACGAACAAATCCAGGAAATGCTCGATAGCGAAGTAATTCGGCCTTGCCACTCTCCATGGGCTAGCCCTGTAGGGCTAGTACTAGACTCAATAACGCAAGGGCTTAAACCAGTGCAACTACCTCTCGTTGGGAAAGCACCTCTGGAATTAAGTCTCCCCAGTGCAAGTGCCTCTCGTTGGGAAAGCCCCTCTGGGTATCTTCAGCCTTATCGTTGTCCAGTCCAATTACCTCTCGTTGGGAAAGCCCCTCTGGACAAGGCATAAGGGTGACGATAACTAATCGACACTCCCCCAAGCAGCGTTGACGTGTGACTCCCTATAAAGACCCCAGTGTTCGAAGGGTCATGCATCCTATAGGACTAGCGTACATGTAAGGGTATATTTGGGATAATATACATCTACACTTGAGCGAGTTTCTCTCTATCGACCCCCAAAGCTCAAACCCCCCATGTCACCCCCGTAAAGTGGGCAGTTGTGACATACGACTCCTTCAACTTAGATTTGGCCAAAATAGCAAATTTTCTACCTGTAGGTATTTATGTCACAATTTAAATTATACATATATGGGTATGAAAAAAAAACACCAATTTTAGGAAAAAATACTAGTTTATTTCTCTAGTACAAGAAAATTGGTCCTACACAAGAAAATGGAATAATATTATAAATATCTCATATAAATTTTTTAACAATAATAAGTGTTTGTTTATGTAACAACGGGGTTATTAAATAGAATATCCGAAAAAGTATTTCTTGTTAGGCACATAATCATCAAATTGTAATCCCTAAATCTATCAACAAAAAAATAAATACAAACTTCTCCATAAAATGTAGGTATAGAATCAAAAATTAAACAAATTTAATATTAATAGAGAGAGAAAAAAATGGAATATTTCGGAATGTGTCATTAAATAGAAGCCATTAGATGTCTTATAGAAAAATATAAAAAAATATTTATACAGAAAAAATAAATGTCAATGAAGCTCAAAAAGATCATCTACATACAAATTCGATTACACAGTCTAGGACAAAAGTTAAGTCGTATTTACTATTACTAGATACTGTTCGCAGTCACAATTATTAACATCTTAACTAGCTCAATTATATGTATAGAGAGAAAATGTCCATGACTATTATAATCCTTTTTCAAGAATCAATCAATCTTTAGTTCTCTGTATTGATTGACTTTGACTTTAATAATAATAGCTAGAATATGTAATAGTAAAATTTGATTGGTTCGTTGTATCTACATGTGCCTGGTATTGCCGAAATTGATACCAGATTGGTTCGCTCCCTTATTAGAGCCCATTTGCAGTCCGATGATCGTTTGTCCGGCTTTAAGTTTTTCTTCGGAGAACATTCTTTCGTTTTTCTCGGCTTCTTTGGGACCGATACCTGGTTTACCGTATTTTGTAGCCTGAAACAAACGAAAGATAATTGAAATGTAACATTTTGCTAATTGCTTGATAGAAATATCTTCTAATATCCCTCGACATGAAAAAAGCTATTAGGTACACATCATTTATTAATCTTATTGTCAAATTGGTTATATTAAAAACAAATCTATTTGTTTGCCTGTAGATAAGATTTTGGTACCTTTGTATTTAATTACATATTATTATTATTATCTTCTGATAAAAAATTCCAATAAAATTCTATTATTAGATTTTGCAATTTCACATTTCTACCTGTGGCAATTTTTAAGGAAAATCTCAAGATAGGATTGTCATATTTTGCTTTAAAAGAAAATTGAACTTATTTGTAAATCTTATAACTTTGTTGTTTCTTATTCAATTGTACCGAGTTTTCAGTATGTCTGGCTCCTTAGCCTCAATAATAAATCCTTACATTTCTACCTGTTGTAGTTTTTGAGGAAATTCTCCAGTTATGGAGGATTATCAGATAGTTCCTTAAAAAAATAGTATGTCTTGCTCTAAAGAATAATTGTTCAGTTTTTTCGCAGCTTTTCTAGACTTGTCTTTCTGATCTATCAAGCTGGTTTTGAGAAACTCCTTCTCAAGTTGTGTATTGTTATAAGAATCTATATTAGACTTGTTTCACATTCCCTCAAGCTGGAGTTTTCTATAGAAGGCAGTTGTGGGTTTGGCATCTTCTCAAACAAAAATTTGCCATGAGAATCTTCCAGAATGATTATTTGTTTGGGTTAATTAATCTATGTGGGTAGCTATTTTCTTAGAATATTTTCTATGTGTTAGAGGTACATAATATTTGCTAAAAGCTTCTCTATACCGGGTGCCCACGAGATTACTTTCCGGCTGCCATTTTTTTATTTGTTCATCGGTATCAACGAAACTTGGTAGGGTTGATATTCTAACGAAACGCCATCGGAAATGACCGAAAGTTTTGATTTTCAAATGGACACACCCTGTATATTTTTCGTTTCTCGGATTCTGCAGATCCTTTTACGTCCTAATTCACCACTTTCGAATTGAGTTTTGTCCAAATTTTATTTGGCAGCCGGAAAGTAATCTCGTGGGCACCCGGTATACTCGAATTTTAATTTTCTCATGCAAATGCTATGAGAAACACGTTTCTCCCAGTCAGCACACAATATCTTAAAGACGTATTTTGTAGGTCTGCATTACCTACGTCTGGACATCTGAAGACCAGAAAAAGACGTCTAGAAGACGTTGTTTTGAAAATGTCCATAAGATATCGTGAATTCATATCTTGAAGACAACTTTTTGGTACAACCCAGGCCTATAAGTGAATAATGGTTTATGTATTGAAAAGAGCTTCAAAGATCTCTTTAAGACATCTTGTTGAAGACGTATTTAAAATGTCTTAATCCTAAAAACGTCGTTAAGCGGACGTCTGAAAGACTTCAAGATGCCTTTAAGACACCTTAAAGGCGTACGCAAAAAGTCCTGAATGTCGTTTGTGGACATCTCAGGGACGTCTTTAAGATGTGTATTGTGTACAAAATTTTCCTATCAAATTCGTTTCGCATTCAATTTAGAAGTTACTGGAAACAATTTAGAATGCTACAGCACACTTTTAAACTTTAATAAGCCAAGAGTTTGATTTAAAAAATTAGTGAGAGCATAAAATATGCGCAAGTAGAAATTAAACTCAAAACAAAATATATAAAAAGGCACCCCTGGATAACTACAGGCCTCATGAAATCGGTAGAGAAAAAACACAAACTTTACAAAGCGTATTTGATGCGAGTAATAGGAAATAACATTTAGGGAATATTAAAAAAAAAAAAAAAAACTTATACATAGAACCAAGGCCGATTATTACCAGAACGAGATAGGTAAATCAACAGACGTGTAGGTATTCCGAAAATACGGTGAATTTGGACAGATCATGTGAGACTTTAATGGAACTGGAGCGAAAGCATATTGTGTTGATATTGAGGAAAAACTGTAAAAAAATCTAAAAACGTACCTAAATGACTATGTCTTCCAAAATGAACTTAGTCTTGAGGATTATAAGAGAGCAATATTGATCGAATTTACTTTACATTTATACCGGGTGGGGCACGAAAAACTTTCCACCCAGGTTTTCTCAGGTGTTAGGTGTTTAATCAAAAATCGCTCAGACACGTCAATTTTTGTTTTTTGGGGGACACATTTTATTGGTATTTTCACCCCCTAAGTGGGGGTGACAGGTACCCACAAAATTTTAAATGAAAGGGGGGGTCGAGTGATACGTCATTTGATAGCTATTTTCATTAAGATTATATTCCCGAAGTTTCAAGTTGCTACTATTTACCCTGTCGAAATGGCGGCTTATCAAAGTTAGGAAAAATCAATGGAAAAATGCTGTGTGGTTTTTACCTGTTACCTACGCATAGGTGCGACAGGTAAAAACTATACAGTTCAGATTATCGAAAAAAAGCATTTATCCTAACTTTGGCATGCCGCCATTTCGGCAGGGTTAATACTACCAACTTAAAACTTCGGGGATATAATCTCAATGAAAATAGCTACCAAATGACATATCACTCGACCACTCTTTCCATTTGAAATTTTGAGGGTACCTGTTATCCCCACTTAGGGGTTCACAGGTAGGGGGTGAAAATACCAATAAAATGTGTCCCCCAAAAAACAAAAATTGACGTGTCTGAGCGATTTTTGATTAAACACCTAACACCTGAGAAAACCTGGGTGGAAAGTTTTTCGTGCCCCACCCGGTATTTACTGCAGAAGCTAGTCTCACTATTTTAATTATAGGTTCTTTAACCCAAACCACATGCTCTTATAAGTTTTTCATACCCTCAGGTTAAAATCTTATAGGAAAACTTTTCAGCAATCGCTAACAGCATGGCATACCTGAAAAATCCGTCAGAACAAACTTCCAGAAGCCTTGGATAAATAGAAGAAAATTCGCAAAAAAACGTAAGTCATGGGATACTTGGGATAGTTATAAAAGGGAAAGTAAAGTACAGACCACAAGTAGGTACCTATGCAATTTAACAGATACCAAATAACAGTTTAAAAGCTCCAGTAAAGAAGGCGCGCAAAAGATACGAAATAAATTTGCTGGAGCAGTTTGATAAGCAATTCTTCAAATATGTCAAAAGATCATTTAACTCAAATGGAAGCACTAGACTTTGCTATTTAGGAAATTGTATCCGATCCTCAAATGGTGACAAACTTATTTGGAAGTCAATTCGGTAAAATCTACACTGGGGAGAACCTCAAAAACCTTCCTTCCTCCCACCAGAAAGTAGATCTAATCAGTGAGCTTATGGTGAGTTTAAAAAAAAAAATATAACACTTAAACTAATTTAAGAAAATTAACTTACGACTAATAATTTCAACGTGAGCTTATGTAATTCTCAATTCTTAGTTGATAAGTCCTAATTTTTTTTAATGAACCGCTACGTTACATACCATAACGTCAACTATTTAAGTTAAATGTTAATTCTTAGTTTATTAGTGGTAATTTTTTTTTTTTTTTAACTTGCCATTAGGCCAACAAGGCCCAGACCTGGGGCGGCAAACTTCACGGGGCGGCAATTTAAACCAAACTGTATCCCCGGTATAGCTTAGAAATCCCTATGGTGTGTCCAGTATCCATCCGGTATAGCCAATATTTCTTTTATTCCAAGTCCAAGTCCAAGTGTAAACCACTTTAAACTAATAATATTTTATCATAGTCAAGTTAAGCTTTCATAGTGAAATTTCTTCACGCCCGGTAGGGTGAGTTCATGCGAGTTTCTATGTAACGAAAACATGCAACGACGCTATGGATTCGGTCTACCAGTCACGAAGTCTAGTTAGTAGTGGAGATCGCCTGAGCCATGAGCGGGCTTTAATGCAATTATACCATTCACCCAATTCCCTAACCCCTTTCCTGGTAGCGGTTTTACATAGTATACCATGTAAAGAGCATCAAGTCTATAAACTCCGCCCTCAAGCCTAGTCCAGCTTTGGTTCAGTATTCTCAAAGAGTTTTGTGTTTCATTTTTCATTTTGAAATTATGTACCTACTTAACATGGACCCTTCAAAGGAGCGGACTTCAGTGCTATATATATATCGTAGTTCAGTATTAAAAATGTCTGTAATGCGGTATGAAATGTAGTTAGGACGCGCGCCAAATGCGGTATAGTTCGTAGTCGGGTTCTCAGAAACGCGGCATTCGGCAAAAGGAGATGAAACGGAGTGAGACAGCACGAGAACGCCAAAAGTATCCAGGAATTCTAGAACCCACGATAGGCGTGCAATTTTTTATTTACTTCGCGAGTGTTGCAGAGTGAAAACAAATCAAGATGGGTGAGCAGAGTACGTTAGAGATTTTATTTAAAAAAATACAATTTAAGGTAGAAATAGAAGCTATGGAATTTAAAAGTTGTCCAGAATATAAGCTCTAATTAGATGCAAAATGATGGGGAGTGATTTTCCAGAAGTTAACAGTTTCATGGAAAAGCTTAGTGCCGATACATATACAAACCGGAAAGTTAGAAGAACGTTTCCGAATGTACATACATGGTGTTTCAAGTTGCACATCATTGGGATTGGGATCTCGGAAACGATGAGAGATACAGAGTTGGTTAAATTAAAGTTGCGTAATTAGATGCCTAACAAAATGCCGCTTTGATATCTGGGATATTTCAAATACCTACTGCCGGAGATATCCGGAAAAAAACCGAAATTTTGCGCGCTAACCTATAACGCGATTACGTACTATATTTTCCCCATTTTGCGCACTACTGATTACATTCTATATCGCATTACAGACATTTTTAATATGGACTTAAGGCTGGACTGGGCTTGAGGACGAAGGACGAAGCTTATAGACTCGATGCTGTCTACATGGTATACTATGTAAAATCGCTTCCTGGTATTCTTCTGAGTTTGGAAAAGTTTAATTTCAGTAACATGTGGTATGATTACACGTTGCATTTTTGTTTGTGTAGCAAGTTGATCAAGTTGATAAAGCTATACTGTGTACTGTGTATCTCTACCAACTTGACCAACTTGTTTTTTCACGAATTAACTATCTATATTATTGCTATGTTATATGTTCTGTTTAATTAATCATATTACATACACCGGCAAAATTAGGGGAACGGACAAAATTTACACTAAGTTTGACATCAATTTTCTCTTGAACCCTCCGCTTGATTTCGATAAATTTTTCCAGATTGTAGCTTGATTCTTGAAATACATCTGACGTATTACCGTTATTAAATGATTCGTCTTTATATCATATACACAGTGATGGAAAGAAAGTCAATAATTTTCAGAGTTTTTAAGACAACCTGTGGAGTGAACCACTGGAAATTCTGAACAGTTTTCAACACCAAATTGTAGCTTGATCTTTTTCGAACATTTTCATTTTTTATTCATTCTGATATTTTCAATATTATTTAAAATACGGAGTTTCGAAGAAAAGGTGGATATTGACTTTAATTGTCTCCACGTCGACATACGAATTAAATATAAAAATGTGTCGTTTTCCAACTTCAAGTCGTGTGTGTGAATGCTTACTTCGCAGTTTTACCTCTTACCGATCATTTTTTGTGTGAAAAGAATGCTCACAAATATACAGGGGGGATCAGAAAGTCCTTTTCATGATTTCCATTTGGTGGAATGTTATTTACCTAAACTAAAATAAGTTATTGTTATTGTGATTTCTTTTGCCATAGGTTCCAAGTCTACAAATAAAAAAAAAAATAACTTCAACTTGATCCTTTTTTTGAGTTGCTGTCAAGGTGAAAATTCGTGATTTTACTTGAACAAATAATAATAAATTCGTCAATATCCTACCGATATGGCGGGGTCTGTTGAAGGATAATTTGGACTCCCAATGTCTCCCAAGCCTTGGTTAAGTGTGAAGAGAGAGTTTAGAGAGTTTAGTTTAGATAAATAACATTCCACCAAATGGAAAACATGGAAGGGATTTCCTGATCCCCCTGTACCTATATTTGTGAGCATTCCTATCACAATAAATTGATCGGTAAGAGGTGAAACTGCGAGCAATATTTGACTTGAAGTAAATATTCACACACACGAATAAATTAACGAACAATAAAGATTCAAAACTTTCTGAATCTGGTATTTTCAATAATATTGAAAATATGTGAGTGAATAAAAAATGAAAATGTTCGGAAAAGATCAGGCTACAATTTGGTGTTGAAAACTGTTCTGAATTTCCATTGGTTCACTCCAAAGGGTGTCTCAAAAAACTCTGAAAATGACTGACTTTCTTTCCATCCCTGTATATGATATAAAGACGAATCATTTAATAACGGTAATACGTCAGATGTTTTCCTGAAGCATCAAGCAACAATCTGTGAAAAATTCATCGAAATCGAGCAGAGGGTTCAAGAGAAAATTGATGTCAAACTTAGTGTAAATTTTGTCCCGTCCCCTAATTTTGTCGGTGTGTGTATTTAAAAGGTAAAGGGTATTATTATTATTATTAATAAGCATGGGGCGGCAATTATTGGAAGGCCTAGAGGCGGCAAACTTCTTAATCCGCCACGGGATCTAATGGGGAACCGGAAATAGTTTTCACACCAAAAAAGATTAAAGAACAATTAATTAACAGCCATGAAGACTGACTCAAGCCCTGGCCCTGGCAGGCCATAAACCATCTCATTCAATGGGGAAACTTTCCGAAAATCTGGAAGAGTGCACATGTCATCCCCTTTTTTATTAATTACAGACCAATAAGCCTTAGCACGTGTGAGCTGATGGAAAAAGTTTTTGCTAAAGGAAATATGACAACATTTCTTCTGGAAAATGGAAGCATACCATCAATCACACTATTTTTGGACTTTGTCTGTTTGTGTCCCAAAACCCTAAATAAATAAATTCAACACGGATCAACAGTCATGAATTTAATAACATGGCCTAAACCGATGGATAGAAAATTTCGATGAGAACCAACCCAGCGCCTGACTGCAAAAACCTCAAATTCAAACTTGTACAACAGCAGTTTCATCTGTGAATACCGCCTACTGCCAAACAGTGATAACATGTGATAATAATAATAAGTAGGTATCTACTTAGGTACGTATTTAAATAATGGTTCGTTATCCAAATTTGGCACACAATGGCTGCACCAATAAAATTTAATATATAGAGACACACTAGGATAGAGACATAACAAACATGCAACAAAAGAGGAATTAAAAATAGGCATGCAATATTTTTATTAACCCCAGTTAGTATTTCAGCCCATAGAGGAGGTCCAATTATACAAAAACTGAACGTGCTTTAATTAGTAAGTAATTATTTAAAAAATCCAAAATCTATGAACTAACTTTTCTTCCCAAACTCTGCAAACAAATAACGACAGAGTTAAGGTTCTGCCTTTCCCACAAATCGACAGTTTGGAACGTTTCCTGTGCTGGCACTCCAAAATTTCTAGCCGCTTCCAAAAAAGCATTGATGTTTTCCATACATTTAAATGCCATGGAGCTGGTGTTGATTTTCTTCACCGTACCAGGTTGAATCGAATTCGCCAATCTGAAATCGAAAGAAGCAAAAATAATTATTACATCTTTGGCTATATAAATTTAAAACGACCCTGACCAGTTTACGAAATGACCTCATCCGAACGCGACACAGCGAAATCTATAGACTTGTATGGAAAAATGACTCACTGGACCGTGCAAACGCATTGGAATGTTATATGGAGTGTTACATGGTTCATTAAAAATGAAATTCGATTATGTACATAACGTTAACGAGTTTTTAGTCAGGTTTTAGTAGGTTTACGGTTGATAATTTGAAAATTGCACGAATTATACAGGCTGTTGGCTTGGATAATTTGATCGGAGATTAATTTTCTATGGAGTTTTATAAATGCGTATGATCAGATATTGGTACATATACAAAGGTGTGATAATGACTCTTTTGCTCCTTATTTTTTATGAGTGATAATAAGCTTATACACATTTTCTGTCATCCTTTATAAGAATAAGGGTAAGGAAAATGAAAAATGGAATTGGAATGGAGATGATTCTTTTATCAACAACCAAAGCTTCAAATAGTAACTGGCATGGTACTATGCTTAACTCAAAAACAAAAAGCGATTTTTACAGTGTGTAAAGTAAGTACCTACTTGACAAAAGAAATTCGTTTTAGTTTGAAGATCTGATACACCCTGTACCAGTGAAACATCATAATAAATAATATTTTTTTTCGAAAATCCCTTACTTGCATAATAAGGTACCATCCTTGAGTACTTCATAAAAGTTATCCATATCTCCGGTAGTACTGACATTCTCCCCAGTCACACTGTTGATCCATTCCAAGCTTTCTGCTGCCAATTCTTCGCTGTATTTGGCATTTACCTATAACAAAAATTAAATTGAGATTTAGGTCATTGTATTTATTTATTGCTAATCAAAAAATAAATCTTATTTATTGCCAATAAAACAATCAGACATTTTATGGTTTTCTTTGTAAATAAATTAAGTGTACGTTTTATTTTTATCGATTTGTTTTGTAACCAAGCACCGATAAAAAAATCATGATTGTCTGATGGGTCGAAGTACCAAGTATAGGTACCACACCTTGAAGCAAAGGTCAATGATGTTTACAAGCAGATGAAAAAATTGATGAAGAGAGCTGATCAAGAATAACCAACGATAATGATTTTGTCGCTGTTGGGTTTAGGCAAACAATAATATATGGGCTTCGCTTTAACTTTGGAATTGAGTGAAAATGATTTTTAGAGATTTTGCCAAATTGTGAGACACTAAATTTAATCAATACCTGTTTATGCATTTTTAGCTAATGGCGTCATTCATGTTAATAGTAATTGCCGAAACAATTCATTCGCAAGTTTGCTTTTATTCTTTTTGTAGAATCATTTGACTCACTGACATTCAGTGTTTATATTTAGTGCTCATACCCCACACAGGATCATTACAATTCTGTGATTTCTGTGGGAAAACAGTTATATGTATTATTGTTGACTAATACCTAGAGGCTTCAAGTTAAGTCAATCATCAATGCAACATGAGTTTTCTATTAATAATAATTTATTTCGTTCTAAAGTCTAAGTACATACATAAAATTGTATTTTCTTAATACTTCACACTTGACTTCCAGACATTTTAGTTCTCAAATATTTACCAAGTAAAGGGCCGCACCCTCCAATCAATTCCAGTCGGCTAGACCAGTTAAGGTAGACGTTCAAATTAGGAAGCCACAAAATACATAAGGAGCGGACATTCTCAGAAAGAGTTATAAGCACCAGATGGACGTGAATGACTGGTTGGGTAACCCACGCCACAAAGCATATAGACTTTCAAATATTACATGAGAAAGGTAGGATGACAAATGGATTTACAAATGACTTTCTATAAAAATAAAACCATTCTATTGATAATTTGCAAACAACCCTCGTAGTTTAATCCCCGGTCGCCTGGTCCATATTTTATCCAGTTTGCAAGCTGAAACTGGGTCAGGCAAATCGATAAAATAAAGGTTTTGCGTCTACAAGTAGGGTAGGTTTTGTCAACAACAACAATATAATGAGGGATGAATTGGGGTTAACCGGTTGACGATAATGGACTCGTCCTTGAATATCTTAACAAAGACGAATAAGGACTTTGACAATATAATATATTGTAGGTCACTAGAAAAATACAAAATACTTTAGTAGGGACTTATCGATATACTCATGCCGGAGTTACCCAATGCATTCATTCTTAATATTTGTCCCTAATTCTTAATTCTCAAAAAGTTCAATTTTTTAATTAAGAACAAAAATTAAGAATTAAGGAATTGGGTAACCCCGGCCTAAGACAAAACAAATATGCCTATACAGGTTTTTGTCTGGTACTATTACTTTTACTACCTACGAAAACTGATTGTCTATATCTTCTTCATTCACAAGTTCTTGGCGTCGATATACACCAAATATTATTGTAACTTTGTTCGTCAAAAATTTCTCATTAAGTGATTCTGACTAAATACATTTTAAAACTTTCTTCATTAGATAAAACTTTACAGCTGTATGCATATGCAACATTCTCTTTTAATTTAAAAGCGCTTTTTAGAGCTGGTCACTTTTAAAAATGTGTATTCTAAGCCATACACATTTTTAAAGGTACCAGTTTTAAAAAGCGCTTTCAAGTTAAGAGAGGATGTTGCATACAGCTATTAGACTTTTTTTCACTACTATACTTATTTTACTTTTGCTTCAAATATTCTTATTAGATTAGGACTGCCTTAAACAATAAGGAACTTGGAGAAAATGTTTCCTCAGGCGACTTACGTTATATCGTCGCCCTCGAACATAAACATCTACTAACTATTATGGTCTGTAATGTAAAAGTACAGCCAATTACGTTGTCAAGACTTGCGCTTTGTTCTGCCCCAGCTTATAGCTAGAAACTACGAAATCGTGACTACTAGATGCTCCTATACATGCCTGGACAGACTCTATAAAAGCACTAGCAGGGATAAAAGAACTTAAATTTTCCTGAAACATTGCAGTAGGTACCTCGTTTGTTCATGCCCTTAGAACCCTTTTCCAGAGATCTATGGATTGAAAATCTTATTCCTCAACATGAAAACTGTCAACCGTTTTCCAGATTTTCAAATATCAACACCGTGCACTTAGGGCGATCTGAGTCTAGGGTTGAATACTTGATGCAAGAAAAACAACCTGCAATTGAATACCAGCAAACGCAAGACCAAAGGTTTGTTCCAACACACCAGAAAACCGTATAATGTACCGCCACGATTCTGCGCAAAGCCAAAAACTTGTGCGTAGAACCCGAAATTCGTATACAGACTGGTTTCGAAACCTTCCCATAATGGTTTTTGACGTGTTGGTACAATTAAACCTAATGAGAGATAATTGTTGCCCAACAATATTCATCAGGATTTGTTGAGTAGGATCTTTTTATCAAACAAAACAAAACGCGAGTGGATCTCAGGCTCAGAAATGGAATTATGTAACCATTAAGACACCAAAGCACCCTCTACCTCGGTAGAACACACCCAATGACACCGGTCCATGACGAGTCAATTAGTACTGTATTTTGAAATAAATATTCGGGAATTTAGTTATTCAACGTGTACCGTATTACGTTTTTTCCCAGTCCACTCCTGATCAAAACCCTCCAGTTTAAGTGGCGCCTAACGTGGGGCAAGTTAAAAAGCAAGTTTATTTTGACTGTACTCTTGTTGACTAGATAGATTTGTGAAGTTTTCCTGTGAGTTTTTCGATTGTGGTCATAATCCATCTCACCAGCTTCACCAAGGACACCAATTTCATGCAGTTACGTTCAGGTCGGATGTCGAAAAGCACTGAATCTAATGAAATGGAAAATAACGAAGACAATCATGATAATGACGTTATTCAACAAGTAGTAATGTCGCCAGAAATGTTACAAGCTCTTATACAGAGCCTTACTAAAAATCAAAATGTCAATTTAAATAATTCAGAGCGAGGTAATTTTGCCAAATGCACAGCTCGTTTTGATGGTTCATATAGCAGTGATGTGAAAACGTTTATTGATACCATCCTTATTTATAAAGACTGCGTGAATGTTTCTGAAAATAATGCTCTCAAGGGTTTTCCGATGCTTCTAGAAGGTCAAGCTGCAATATGGTGGCAAGGAGTAAAATCCAATGTTGTTACATTTGATGATGGTATATGTGCATTACGAAATGCTTTTGGACAAAAAAAACTTCCACATCAACTATATCGTAAGTTATTTTCTAAAGAATAAGGTAAGTAATGAAGAGAAAACTGAAATTTTTGTAAGCCGATGTCGAGCCATTTTCTCCAAATTTCCAACTAATCAGGTTTCTGCAATTCGTCAGTTAGATATGGTCTATGGTCTATTGAACTACAATATTAGAGAGTTCCTCGAGAGAATGTTGATAATTTCAATGAGCTTATTCAAAATGCTCAAACTATAGAAATCACCCTACTGGAAAAGAAAACTCACGATTCTGTTAAATCGAGCCCCTACAAATAAGCTAAAACAGAAGGGAAGAAAAATTATGGCCACATCATAGAAGATTGTAGAAAATTGAAACAATTGAAACGAAACTCTAGACTAGAAGAAGCAGGTCGGAAGTCAGAAGATCCGCAAAAAAAAAAATGTTTCTACGGCAATTTCTTGCTACGGTTGTGGAAACAAGGTTACATCAAAAGCAACTGTTCAAATTGTCGAAAATCAGGTTCTTCTAGTAATACTTCATCAGGCCAAACGATCACTATAAGTGCCAAAGCTGCTGAATTCTTCTATCATTCTTCAGATGCTGATTCTCTAATTAAACCTATGGTTTCAGTCAATATTCTTAATCATACTAGTCTTGCCTGTTTGGATACAGGAGCAAAGCGTAGCCTAGCTAGCGCTGCGCTTATGAAACTTCTCTTGAAAGAAAACGCTCCTAATATTCAACAACAATTGTTGATTAAACTTGCAGATGGCATAGAGAGGACTGTAACTTCTGTAGTTTTTAATGTTGAAATCATCCTGGATCATAAAATTATTTCAACATCACTTGTTGCTATTCTAGAACATATCAATAGTAGGACTTTACTTCGAACTTGGACTTCATTGAACTCTGCTAATATTGTGATGGACATTCCTTAGGGACAATGGTATTATGGTGAAACTTCACAATTTTCGTATTTATTCCAAGATGAGACTAATTGTGTAATAACTACTGCGGAATTCACTGCAATGGTTTCTGTCCAACTGAATGCATCACAATTGAGAGAAAATGAAGGTGTACAACTAAGCCAACCGGAAAAGCAACAAATTGAATTCTTACTGCACCAATATGCTGAATTATTCACATTTCACATCCGGTAGTGAGCCAACACCATATGCAGAACATACAGTAAAACTGACTGATGATATTCCAATTTCTGTACCACCTTGTCGGATGTCTGAACAAAATAAAAACATATTGAGGGCAGAACTAGATAAGTTTCTGAAAGATGGAATTATAGAAGAATGCGAATCCCCGTATGCTGCTCCAGTTGTTCTAGTACCTAAACCTGATGGTATTATTCGCCTTTATGTCAATTATCAACGCCTAAAATGAGAAAACAGTTTCCGATAAATACCTACTTCCTAGGATTGATGATCTATTACACACTGCAAAACAAACAAAGTATATGACCACTCTTGATTTAACATCATGATACCATCAAGTCTCTGTCCGCGAATCTGATCGAGATAAAACAGCATTTATTTGCCCATTTGGAATTTTCCGTTATACGAGGATGCCATTTGGAATGAAAAATGCACCCTCCACCTTCCAAAGACTCACTGATCGATTCAAATCCGGACTCCAAGTTTTGACCATATTA